AGTTCCTCTGAATGCGCACTGAATGTTGGACCCGGTGAAGGCCTTCGTGTACGCGATATCCACGAGTTGTGGGACGTTGTAGGTCGTCATCGTCATGTCCGGATTTTCCCGCATCCAGTCCGTCATCGCCCTGTTGTAGCAGGTCTTCACCAGACCGATCACTACCTCCAGAGGCTGAAGGCGGTGAGAAGTGTGCGGCGGAAGGTTGGGAATCGTGACTCCGCTGGCACGTGCGAGCTCACTTGTCCGAAGTGAGGCATAAGCCGCGTGGTTGGCCGAAATGATGGAGACTTGTTGCTCTGCCAAGCACTGAGTGAGTCTGAAAGTGCGCGACGTACTCGAGGAATATATCCTTGTTTACATGTCCTTCTTCGTTGCACATCCTGCAGTGCCTGTAGGTGCGCCTCGAATGAATTGGTCCTTGGGAAAGGACCGATTCTAGGACACTCTAGGAAAGATGATGAGTGTTTGGACAAAATTTCCGACGGCGTAGGCTACACAAATCGGCGTAAACAACTCTACTCTTTCTGCGTAAGTGATGAAGCCTCTCCGCCTCGACTCTCTTTTGGCCACCACTCTTTTCGGTGTCTGCATCGTGCTTACGCCCACCTCATCAACGTCGTAGATGTCCTGAGACGAGAATGGGTGTCTTTCTAACCCTCTCCAAGGTATCAAAAAAATGCTTCTACCGTGTGCTTATTGAAAGCGCTGGCACGGGCCAGACACGTAGCCTCTGGTGTGGCGCCCCTGTACTGGATGAAGTTGTGCCGCGATCATCTTATCCACAACCATGTTGGAACAAGTTGCCCCACTACGACGTGACAAATAATCAGGATGGCTGACGATTTGCTTTCAAGCTCAGCCGCGCGAAATCTAGGATGATGCTAGCAGCAGACATGGCAAAAAAGCGTATGAGTCAGTAAACATGCAATGATCTCGACGTTCAAAACAACAGAAAACAGCGCGCATTCTCGAAGGCATTTAAAGATGGTTTAAAATTATGTTGATGCTCAGAACGCGCTGATCACTCGCCCACCGTCACCCGTGTCAAAACAGAAAAAGCTGAGCTTCTCAAAAGTACCACCAGGCGGCCGGTCGGAAGCAATAGAGTCTGCACTCACGGTGCATTGCTAAATGCGCAGGTGCCAATGAGGGACGTGTATTTAGTAGCGGCGTTACCAGTATGCAACAATCCACCGATTAGCTAATCTGCGGACGGTGCGTTGCTAAAAAAGTCTTCCGTCTTTCTACCTTTGGCGTTGATGGCCAGCATGCGTTGGCCCAGCGTAACTATTTGTACTCGTGTTGACCCAGCGCAAATATTTGTGCTCGCGCCCGAAGAGATCGACTATGTGCATTTCATGGCGCTTCCTTAGAGCTGTCATCTGCTACTGCATCACACGTGTCCGCTGAAGGCATGGTTTCTGTTCGATTGACCAAGAACAGCTTGTCACTCAATATTGGTACCGGCGTTTGCAGTCATGGGGTCCATTTCATAACGCTTCATTCGTGCGCATCGAATGTGACCACGTGTGAAGGATATCATTTTTCGAGTACTTTTGTGCGACACCGAAAATCGGCCATCAGCCGAAATATCTCATCTTCTTTGATGTAACCCATTCACGGCACCTGGGTCGGTAGTGGTGCAGTGGTTATGACCCTCGATTCTGGACTTGTCGGTTTTGGGATCGAGCTTCTGTCACATGTCCACCGCACCCTACATGACCCCTGATAGAGACATCCGTCTCGGACTGTTCCTGGCAGTCTTGGTGGGACGTAAAGCCCCAATCATCATGATCACTGGCGGTGGAGTACTAACTGCATTATCCTGGCCCTTAGCGTGATGGTCAGCACACGGGGAACCGGAAAAATGCTTATATTTGTGCAGTAGGCGTGTGACCGTCTGTCTTCGAAAGCGCTATTCTTGTACTTTTAGCTGTCACTTCAGCACACTTGCCCGATCGAGGCATTGATTTTATTTGGTCGACCACCTGGCAGTGGTCGACCAAATATTCATTGCGTCACACATCGCTTACGTCCACCCACACACCACTCACACATCACTCACCGGAAGTTCGTAGCGGTGTTTTGCAACGTCACGGGGTCCGATGTTAAATAGCTTTGGTCTGTGCGATGAGCACATGCACCCGATATCATTGTGGGGACACTGTCGGGCGGCAATGGAAATCGATCATCGTCCGGCACCACCATTCTGCTCGTAGGAGCCCTGACGGCGCATTGTTAAATACGATCGGCCTGCCCGGAAGGAGATGGGCGGCGCATCACACAGTGCCCGAGAACGATGCCTGTAATCGCACGTGAACAGTGCGACCGTGTGAATTCATAGCGCTGCTGTGGGGCTATCGGGTGCCTCTGCGGCACTCTTGACCGGTCAAGGCATTCATTTTTGTTGATGGAATGATCATAAACCCATACCGTCCCATATTGCGCGGTATTTAATATCTAGTCAATCTTAGTCATTTATCTGTAGTATTTCATTTCAAGTAGTTTTAGTCAAGTTAGTATCTCCAGTAAGTTTGGTACGTTAAAGCTATTAAGCTGGAGCTAAAATTGTGAGGTCTTATACGCCAAGTCCGTGCACTCGAGCTCGCGCGTGTTTCGGGTTCCATGCCCTCTAAGGCCTCTAAAGCATGCTTAAACCCAATTGATGCCGGTTCGATAGCCGGTCTCTGACGCTCTGGTAAACTCCGTATAAAAATGATGAATGCAATGCGAGCTAAAAAAATAATTGAGAAATGTAATTTTGGCTGTTCTGACATCGAATAGCAACAAAGTGTAATGATACAGGCAACATGCGTTCCTAGTGCAGGCCCCTGGTGACATTTTGCTAAACCTTGCATATATGTAGCATATTCAACTTGTGCACGCTTCGGGAAGTCCAGAGTTACATGACGCCTACATCAGACTGCTGTGAAAGCTGCGCAGTAATAAATTCCCTCTAAATACATTACGAAAATAAAACCGCAGTTATCTCTGTGCTAAGGTGTTCAGGGTGCTATCCTTTGGGTGGTGCGGAGCCCGCACAGTATGAATTCTTGCAACGATTCCTAGCTATTACACCGTTACATACAGCCTTGAAGACTGACATGCGGAAGGCGCAGTTCCACCAGGAACCAAGCGCCGGACCCTTATGTAGGGGGCTTTGCCGTGACCCAATGGGTCATGATCCACCTGGCCTCAAAGCATAAGTTTGCATTTTTCAGCTGGCATTGTGATGAAAGAATAGCTTACTAACGCTCAAGTACATACGGGGACATCTTATAGTGTTGTAGAGCCATCTAACAGTTGGGTTGGATGTCTATCGCGTGATACGCTCGATGTTCAGCAGACGCGGCGGTGCGGCAGCAGCCAAAAGTCTCATAACAATTCTTACGGTGCGATGTGGCTTGCATCACTCTCAATTTTGCAGCGTAAGGGAATGTTGGAGAGATAGAGATTCTACGAAATTTTCCACCAGTCTTAATTGCCTGACTGGAATGAAATCGGTGCGCTGCACATCTAAATGTCACTTGTTTGCAATTACTTACAAACTTACAGCAATCCTGCGTGGATTGCGCTTCATTCTTGCGTGGCTGAGTAGCACTGTTGAAGATCAGGGAACCACCTTACCAACACAAGATCATCAACTACAGACTGTGCTTTTGTTCCTCATTGCAGCCAGCGGGAGGTATTACCACACTACGACGACCACCAACTACAACTACATACGAGTTTGATCGAGAGTTGATGAGAGCTTAGATAAGGTCTGGGCGAGAGATACCGTTAGAAAGTGCGCACACAGTTTTGCTGTGTCCTACCGCCAATGCTACCAAAAAGAGCGTAACATCTAGAAATATAATTCACATACGCATGAACAAACTCTAAAAGCGAGGAGTGGCAAGGCAACGCAATGCCGACAAGGTGAAGCTGAGGAATCAGCGTGATGGGTGTTGCGTCCGCTAGCTCCGCCTCGATGTCTCCGGCGCCGCTAGATGTCTCCGTCGGCGGCCGCCACGGTTGGCCGCTCGGCCCTCCGCCGGCGGCCAGCGCCGATTTCCGGAACAGCTGGTCCAGAAAACGAGCGCCGTTCAGCGGCCGTAGTGGTGGCGGCGCTGGGCCCGCGAGAACTGGCGGTGCCCGCTGGTGCCCGGTCAGGACGGATCGATTTGGCCGACCCGGCGCTCCGCGCTGCCGTACGGCTTCTTCCGACGCGCGCCACCGTGCAGTGCCGTCCGCGGTAGGGGTGCGGCCAGAGCGGCGCGCTTGTCCCTCCGATTTCCAGCCTCGGAAGAGTTGTGCGGGTCAGCCGTGACGCGGTTGTGAGGCCAGCTAAGTCGCTGCTGCTGGGGGAACCCGCAGCACTTGGCCACTCCCAGCTGCTGCAGCGGCCGCTCCCGGACAGGGGCGGTCGCTCCGTCAGGTACGGTATTCTCGTTAAGCCCAAGTTTCCGCACTTCAGGTACGGAAGCATTGCCCAAGAACGGACTCTGGGCATGGCTACGTCATCGCTCGCAGGCGCGTTATCTTCGTGAGATCGCAGCCCTCTGGCTCATCGAACAAGGTTGACCTGTCCAGGAAGAGCAGCTCCAGCCACAAATCACCCTTAGCTCGTACTTTCAACAGCCTTAGTCAGGCACAGCGGCCTCATCATGACAACGCTCATCCCACAGCCAGCTTGGAGGCAGGATCTGCTGCGGCGGCGGGGCGTCCGCGCAGTACCCGGGCTGACAGCCCGACCGCCCGCGGCGTCTCAGGTCATGACCAGCCAGCCGGCGGTGTCCACTGCCAGCCGTCCGCCGGCGCTGGCGCCGGCGCGCGACGGTCGGCCAGCCGTCGGGAGAACCCCGGCCAGTGCCGGCGCGGGCGGCGCGGCGCGCGGCCGCCGCCGGCCCCCCAGTCGGTACATCGACGCCTACGGGGAGATCGTTGGCATCCCGACGGCGCCGAGTGCGCGGGCCCGCCCCGCGAGCGCCGCCAAGCACGGCCCCGCGGCTGAGAGCATGGGCTGCGGCGCCGCGGCAACCCCAGCTGGCCCGGACCAGCCGGTCGAGGGCGGGTGCTCCGACGACTCCGACTCCAGCGGCGAGGAGCTGCAGTACGGGCCGGGCATCGTGTCCCGGCTAAAGACTCGCTACCTCTCGATGGCGCGGGGAAAGGAAGGCGTCGGCCGAGGTGCGCTGCCTCGCGCAGTCAGCCTTAAGGACATCCTGAAGGAGGAGGGCGCCTTCGAGCGCGGTGCAGTCCAGGACAGCTACGTGCTGGCCGTCCGGAGCGTGCTGAACGTGCCGCCAGCCTGGGGCGAGTCGATAAGAAAGGCAAAGTCCGTCGACGATTTGATATCAGCCCGCGGGTCCGCGGCCGACGTCGATCAGCGTGGCTGGCGCGATAGCGGCGTGGATGCTCGTCGCCAGATAGCCGGCGTAGGCGCAGTGCGAGCCGACCACGCGACAATGAAGGCGGTGGTGGTGAAGCCGGCGGTACGGCCGCAGCGCGAGGACTGGCTGCCAGCCGCCGACACGGTCAGCACCGCTCGGAAGCTGTTCGAGGCGGCGCCGCGCCGGGCGGGCCTGGCGCGTCCGCCGCCGGTCCGTGCTGCGGCGGGGAAGGCGCCGCCCCGTGCCCAGCGTCGCTCGCCCTCGGCCGGCGCGACACCGCCGCCGGCTCCGAGGCCGCGACAGCGCGTGGCCGCCGCTAGACCAGCCGTCGGGCCTGAGCCAGGCCGGCGGGAGCCAGTCGCTGGTCCGACGGCGGAAGGCGGCGACGGTCCGGCTGCCGCCGCCCATTTGTCGCGTGTGCTGCCGACTGCGGAGGGTGAAGGGGCCAGCGGCGCCCAGGAGCCGGCCACCGGTGGTGCAGCCAACGCCGGGCCGGAGCGCAGCGGTAAGAACGGTCTCGAGGAGGGCGGATGGCCTGGTGGCGGACTAACCGTGAATTCCCCTGCTAATGGGATCCCCTCAAACGAGACTGAATATTCGTGGGAAACCACAGCGACGGACCCGGCCGTGACATCTAATTCAAATATCTCGCATGCGTCTGGTAAAGACAATGGCACGTGGTCCTCAGAGGTTACCCGTGGTACAAATGGCACGTTACCGTTCCTGCAAAACAAGCAGGTTGGGGTTATTAAGCCAACACTAAAGCCGGAGCCCCAAGAGGAGCGGGACAAGCGAAAGAATGCGTTGAACCAGGCCAAGAGTAGCACAAATGATGGGATCGTGGTGAATGTGCGGCCTTTACGAACAAACAATATACCAAAAGTACTGCTAGAAGGCAACAGAGCCCCCAAGAAAGACAAAGCGACCGCGGTATTGTCAAACAACAAAAGTGGCATACCCTTGGTGCACTCCTCGGGACTAGCGGGCTTGAAAAACGCCAACCGCGTGCAGCCACCCAGTCGAATATCCAAGCAGTCCGTGAACTCAGGGACAGACTCAGCCCAGGCGGCTAACAAGCGACTCTCAGCAGCAACGCAGCCTCGCGGCCCATCGCTGACGGCGCAGCCTCAGCCCGCTCAAACAGTCGGGGCCTCGCAGACGTCTGGCGTGGGATCAGAGCCCGCGCAGGAGAGGTCGGTCGCAGGTCAGGCGCCCACTGCGGAGCCGTCGCTCTCGTCTGAGCCGGCCCCCGTCCCGCTCAGGTGGCACCAGCGGGCCACGAAATCCACCATCTATGACTTCACCGAGCGCAGCGACGTGCCCGACCACGTCGAGAATGACGGCATGGACATCCACCGCAGGGCCAACCCCAAGGTGAGACAATGGAATACGCTCTGGGCAGGGTCGCGCGGATGTTTCGCAGGACTTGGAGTAAACACAAACCAAGGATGTTGAGGCACTTGTAGCTGCCAGTCCACGCGTCAGCTTAGTAACATACGCTGTCAGGCATAGCCGTTTTAGCGGGGCGCGCCGCAGGCGAGCACCAATCGGCTTTTGTGAAAGGTTGGCATACTCAAGGATGGGTCAGCCTATGTGAGCTATCTCTGTGTGCTTTATTTGGAGTCATATGTGTGTATTAATCGAGTCTGATGGCCTGTGCTTCATTCATGCAGCTAAGCATCCTCGTCAAGCCTATCTGTCAAAGTAGCCTACACTGCATCAGGTCTAGATGTTTAGCCATGATACGGGGCCGATTTGCCCGTACATGTTCCTTGTGTCTGTCCCATCTTTCCGTCCACGAAATGAAATGCAAATGACGGGATAATTAAATCTAAGAGATCAGCTATCGCCTGAGACCAACACTAACCACAAGATGATGATGACGATGCGGGTTTACGAACGCTGCAGTTAGAAATATGACCGCATGCACGGACCAAGCGGTTCCATGACGTCACCCACCGCATGATCGGCGATTCGCCACCACAGCGCACTTGTGTGGTGCTGAAACCACCTCTCACAAAAACCGGGAGCGCTATTTACCGTAGCCGAGCGTCGCGCGGCATAAACCGGCCGTTCCGTGCCGTGACACCCGTTCAACCGTGGCAGCGGCTCTCTGGCGGCGGCGGCGCGCGCAGACCGCTCCCGTTACCGAGAGTCGTGACGTCGCCCCGGTGACGTCACTAACGGTAGGCGCGTGCGGCGACGCGTGCTGAGCCCGTCCCTCGGCGGGTTCGGTGCTGGTGCTCATCCGCGGCCAGCACCCCGTGCCAGGCTACCTGAGCCGGGCGCGCCGGGCTGGAGGGTCACGTGGTCCGCTGTCAGGTGCACCGGTGTGACCTGGACGGCTCGTCCTGTCCTGGCCGCCTCTGTCCCGCCGGTCGGTACGTCTCCGGCGCCTCACAGCCGCTGCCGAAGCCTGGGTACGTGTCGCAGTGTGTCAGGCAGTGGTGGCCGGGAGATAAGGCCGCGGTACTCAGTGGACATGCGGCATGTCGTTCTGCCGTGATGACTGACGATGACGCGTCACGGGTCTCGAGGGCGGTGCTGCCGCGGCGACGGCCTGGTCTGGTCTGCTGACAGACTGTCACACTGATCTGCTGACAGACTGTCACACTGATCTGCTGACAGACTGTCACACTGGTCTGGTCTGCTGACAGACTGTCACACTGGTCTGCTGACAGACTGTCACACTGGTCAGCTGGCAGACTGAGACGCTGGCCAGTTGGTATGTCCACTATGCTATTATCTCCACATATACCGGTGTATTCACACGCATATCCACACATGTACTGGTATATTCACGTGCGCATTGGTTTATCCATATATATCGATGTATACACGGGTACATTCACACATATATTAGTACATCCGCGTTTTTTAGTACATCCATGCACATTGGTATATCCACACACATATTTTAATATCCAAATATCTATCGGTGTATCCAAAATATCTCAAGAAGACTGCAGCCTTTCACCTTGACATTACTGGACAAAAAATAAGTCCCTTGCCTTTCGCTAGAATGCCGCGGGTCATCGCTGAAAGTACCCTTTCTGACAGATACACATATCCCATGGTGTTAAAAAGTGTACCTCCATTGCTTTCTGTTGGTGAAAAATTCGTCACCACCTCATGCCTGACGTTTGCAAACTTATCGCCCCACATTTCCCCAATATCCTATACTACCTCTTGGTCTGGGTTGGGGCTGTAGCCGGCCACATAAGCAAATTGCAGGGGCGATAAATTTGGGGTCGTGATCGTCACCGAGGCTCTCTTCGCAAGTGAATACGCTGGTGCTCGGCGAAACTTTGCTTGGATTTTGACTTGCGGCCCGAAATGAACTCTCTACAGTACAGTAAAAGTTTCCTGATGTGCACTGTTTTAAAATGGGAAATGACGAGAATGGGGCACTGGTGTAGATCGCCTTATTTCACGTGCATGAACTCGCCGATGTCTTTACGGACCCTGAAGTTTAGCGCATAAAAACAGGAATAACCCTGTACATATTCTAAGCCTTTAACAAAAGTAGCAACTACAGAGATGGCCATCAGCAGAACTGGTCAGTTGGCGTCGCTGTTCGACGCCATGCCTTCCTCTTCCAACGCCCAATCGTCATTGCCTGTAAGGCTCCGGGCCTCCGCCAGGAGTGCCCGACTCTGTGTCACATGGATACGATAAAACATGTCAAATGTTGGATGTAACGGATGATCTTCCGTGGCTGATATCGCACGCACCGTCACGACAGGCTGGTTCGAAGACATGTGACAGGCGGTGGTTTATCGGCAGGCAATGAATGACCTGGCTAGTCTAGGTGCACGTAGATGACGCCTGTGTGTCGCTTTATCTCAGGTTATCGCACCTGCCAGTGTCAGCCGGTAATGCTGCTATAATTCTGTAAATACAGTCTGCAATCGCCATCTGGTGCATCGGCAATGGAAGGACGGTTTATGCCCCCACGTAGCTTAAAATGTCGCCCATCCCTGCGTAGACTGAGGACGGGTGCACTGAGAAACGCATAGGTCCTTCGACGCCCATGCAGACGCAATGTAGCGCCGTAATATCTTGCGAAATTGTCCTGACTCGGGCGCGGATTCGAAGGGCTGTCGAAGTACGAGCCATCCTTACCCAGCACGGAAGCGGAACGGACTAGATCAAGCTCACGTCCATTGATTGGGCAATGGACGTCCAAGTATCTTGTCAACGCCAACATAATGAATTGCGATTCTTTAAGTAAAGTTCCTGTTTCGACGGGACAGACCAAGGGGTGGCGAATAAGTGGTGGCAAATACAGACAATGAGTTGGCGCATGCAGTGATGTAAGCTCCGGCAGGACTCTAGGTACAGTTTCCACGACCGCGTGGGATATTTGGCGCTGAATACTGAAATGCCGACATTCCCGAGTTGCCCAACGATTACAGCCGCAGGTGCGACCCATGTGAACAGCACGAGTTTGTGCGTCGCTCAAGCTCGTGCTGTTCACATGAATTGCAGACTTGAATGAATTGAAGAACGAACATGAATTGCAGGTACGCTGATTATTGTTTTGAAATTGGATTCGCGCCTCCAACCGATTCGCCTGCCGGAATATTGTATAAAACATGACAACCCGTAAAAGCAGAGAATCCTCCTTTCCTAGCTCAGTGCACGTTACACGTGACACTGCGACCGCACATTTGACGCCAAGCGATTTACCGTTCAATTGTATAGGGAGCCGTGTCAATTGATTGTCGCTCCGGCTCCTGGTTGCCAATGGCAAAACTGTGAAACCATGCAAATCCTCATTCACTGCTTCTGCGCAAGTGTCACGCGACACATGCGACCGCAGTCTGGCACCAAGCGGTTTCCCGTGCCACCGTTGCCGATGTGTGTCAACTTCTTGTCGCTCCGGCTCCTGGTTACCGAGATGTGGACACGGTTTGGAACGGTTGCCCATCGACTTTGTTATGGGTCTCATTTCAGGCCGCCCTTGCAAAACTAATGGGTCTAAAACGGCCGTTCTGGCACGCGCTACGTCCGAACGGCGCACCACAGCAGCTCGCCAGCTACCTGTGGACAACCGCCCTGTACGCCCGCGCGTCCTGTTCAAATATTACCATTCAGCAACCAGGCGTTTAGCCCGGGCACGACGCCACGCAAAATAGAACAAACAGATATACAAAAGTACTCGCAGAAAGTAGTATGCAGGCAGGCAAATAGGGCAGAGCCTGCCGAACATCATCTGTATTCTGCGACATTGTCTCCGCAAAATCGCTGTGGCAGCTGCACCAACACTGCAAAGTTAAGCGCCATTCGGTCTCAACCAACACGTAATCGCAGCCAAGTCTCTTAAATTCATTTGTGTGTAGTTCACCACGTCAAAAAAGGAACCTGTACAATCAGGATTGTGGCTAACGCAAACTGCAGTTTTCTACTGCCGTGCGTTTTGAAGCACAGCACTGGCAGCTCCTTTACAAATATTTACGGTACGCGGTTACATCGGTTCTCCATCAGTTTCCTTGCAAATCGCCTTGCAGCTCGAGATCATTCCGAAAACGGGCCATTCAGTTCATTCCAGCTCGAGCTGTTGTGTTCTTCAGACGTTTTTCACTCCTCAGATTTTGCTCCGCCCCCCCCCCCCCCCCCCCATTCACGTTAGATTTATCGTGACAGAACCTGCGAACATGCTTTCCTTTTCGCACGCGCTACGGCCGTCACCGTTGTGGAATCAGCGTGAAATTGTGCCGTTTAAAGAAAATATGCGGCATAATATACTTTACTTAATAATATACTTATACTTTACTTAATAATGATATGTACTTCGTGATATCCTATTTGTAAAATTGAAACATCACAAAAAACAATAATTGAATATCACAAAGCTTGTACACGTGGAATGTGTAAACGGCACCGTCGTTGGTGCAGCCGTTTGCGCTGTGCATTTCGACAATGACTATTGTTTAAAGGTGCGCGCCTGCAAATGCGACCCTCAACAAAGCCAACGAGCAGCTGCTCCAAACCGCGGCCACATCCCGGTAGCCACAGATTGGAGCGACAAGAAGTTCGCATGACTTGGTAGACAATTCAATGGGGCATTGTGTGGCGCCAGATGTGCGGTCGCGCGTGGCATATGTCACGTGCTCAGCAGCGGTCAAAATGAATTTGCCCATTGTTTACCGTTTTCACGTTTTCTACCGTATCCCGGCAGCCAGAGGGGGTAGATGCGCGAATCAAATTTAATGCGTCGATCAACTTTCCGTCAGCAATTAATGTGGTCAACACGAATTTGTGCGACGGGGTTTTCGCCAGTAATCACGGGCAAGCCGGGAATATCACTATTTCGAAAAACGGCGCCAAATACAACGCGCTGTCGTCGAAGCTGAAGCAAGAGTCGTGGCGAAATTTACAGCAGTGAATGTACCAGTTCATTAACTGTATTTGCATTCATTGCCATTGACTGCACCCAGTTATTTGTCGTGATGCAAATTACGACAAATTAATTTGGTACAAAGTCGCTTTAAGGGCTCAGAGGAGCATTGGCCGAGGGGGGGGGGGTCAGATCAGCATCGGGGTTGGATGGAGGGGGGGGGGATCAGTCCCCCACGAAAGTAAATAAAGTGACGCTCCTGTTCGAACCCCTTGCATTCTGAAACGCTGGAGAAACCAAACGTAATGAACGATGAATAATTTACGAAGGTTGCGATGAAAGAACTGATGACGTGCAGCTACTGTAGAGCGAATCCCGCTTCTACGGCGAAACAGCGCATCCGGTGCTTCACAGGGTGCGGGTTTTGTAGTCACTACAGAGTGTGACGAGACAGAAATATTGCAGCAGCGCTGGCGAGTGACAGCGGCGAAATAAGGGAGATGCAACCTTTGTCCTGGTGGCAAGTACAGTTTTCTTGAAGCTTTTCAAATACGTAACACTTCACACATCAACTCGGACAACACAACCCTTCAACTCAAACGATGCTTCCGGACAATCTCAGTAAATTACATTTCTGACTACGTACATCACGTTATACACATCACGTTCACATTACGTGCGGCGAAAATTACATGCCTGATTACGCAAATTACTGGTAGCGAACTGTTCCCAAAGGTTTAGTGGATTGGGTGAATTGAATCAGAGCTGAGCTATATCCCCAAGTACACAGCACTGCATCGTCATTAACACAAATGTCACCCGCGCGTCAGTGTTTGTCAGTCTACACTTGAATGTTTTGCGTTTTTGTTTATAATATCCCGTTTTCGATGCACCAGAAGGTGCGAATGAAAAGGACGTTTAAGCCAATGTCGGAGTACAGTATGGCAATATTAGAGATCTTCAGCAGTGCTTGTGGTTAGCAGTGAACACGCCAGGATATTAAACATATTTAAATAATTCTATCAATGTGTGCCTTTGAAGGAAAACATCTCCCTTGATATGCATCCTGCGCCATCTCGAAGGGTTGCCCTGACCCCTGTGTAAGATGGCGGTTCTCGGAGCTAAGATGACCTGGAGTGTCCATGGTGGCCATGACTGCCAATTTCTCCAAGGACTTCAGCTCGGGTTTTAAACAGTCTGTTGGCGACGGGGTCCGCCACCAGCCCTAACCTGTGTGTCTCATTTCAGCGTCCATGCTGCTCAAAGTTTAAGGGATCTTTCAAAACAGGAGCGATGCTAGTTTGTTCTTTATGACGCTTGTTCGCTCTGCTCGTACGCACGACAAGCCTTCTGGGATATTCGCTCGTCATATACAGTTCGCACCAAGGCTGATTGTATAGTAACCCTATTTGCCGGCAGAGATCAGCCTCCGTGTCTATTTTGTACGAAGCAACACAAAAACAGGGATGTCAGTTTGGGGCGATAGGGTGAGGCGGGGAGGGGGGGGGGGGAGCAGTTTCATACCGTATCTTCCGCTTCCCCGCATCCTTCGTTCGTTGAAGCATCGCTTCCCTCACAGCCTCGATCGGCCATTTCAGCCAGGCGACTCCGGCTACGTCCTGCTGCCCGGCTTCGACCCGGGCGAGTCGTGCGACGACGACGACCTGATCCTGAGTCTGAGCCGACCTCGGGAGGCGCCGCCGCCCTGCCTCGTCACCTTCCTCAACGCCGGCGTCATCATCAACGAGCGCTCCAGTCTGCGTCAGAGGTCCAACGGCGGGACGGTGAGGCGCAGCGCCGGCAGTTCTGTCCAGAGATCTGTGCATGCCGCGGGAGCCCCGACCGCCCGACCAGTCCCGCCGTCATTTCACGCGCGGAATCGGCTCGAAGGCGTGCCGAGCATGGGTGGCTGAAGGCGCCGAATCGTCTTCGCAGCCCACAACAATAGCCAATCTTAACGGGCTGGGCAATCGTTTATATCTGCCGCCACGATCACATTCCCACTATAATTGGATGTAACGGCCGGCGCCGTACAACAGATGTAACAGGTGCCGTGGCGGCGTTCAGATCCGTAAGAAAGGCGCTGTGGTGCCGCGCTTAACCTTACGAGGAAGTTGCGACCTGTGGGTGTTTGAGTCACCGTTGCATCACACGGTGCTGGGAAAGGAGGCCTTGCAAGCTATCTTATCCCTGTACAAAGTCTCCCATCGAGCCCCGATGACCGGATGGGCCAGCCATGACCATGTTGCGCACAGCCGTCAAGTGGAGAGGGGGGGGGGCTGCCCTCAGCTCTCACCATGGATGATGGGTCACGGGAGCGCCGGCCGTGCACCCAGCAGCCGTGACACTGAAGGCAGCGCAGCGCCAAAAGCCTGATTGGTCGTCATCAACGGCAGAGCTTCTCTAGGCAAAAGATCCCAGACGATCCCAGCAGCCTATCATATCAAACTTAAAGGAGGGAGGCTTATCCCGGCGGCAGTAAGTGGAGTGGAATTTGCAATACGAATGGCTGCTCAGGGCTGAAATGGTAACTGCACTAAGCTTCAATGTCAACTGCCCGAATTCATCAGGATACATTCCCGCTTTTTTCTTTTACTACCTTTGCAGTGCTTTGCCGTTATTCCGTTCTTGGCGTCTGTTCTTTCCCATCTATTCTCGTATTCGTCTGTTCTTTGCAAAACTTCTCACGTGCCTAAAGTTGTGGCGCACGCACGATCGCACACATACCTAAACTTGTGGCGCACGCATGATCGCACACATACCTAAACTTGTGGCGCACGCATGATCGCACACATACCTTGCGGTCATGTTCTGCCTGCTAGACACGCCAGTAACAGCCCGCCACGGTCAGATGGCTGAGACTGTAGGCCAGTGCGAGGCGCCAGTGATGGACCACCGTGGCTGCCGCGGGGACTGACGCGTGCCGTCCGCGCACTTCCAGCTGAGCGTGTCCTTCAGCGCTGGCCGACCGGCCGTGCACCAGTACCCGTCCGAGGCTTCACTGCTCGCTGCTGAGGCGCCCCCTGTCGATCCGGTCCCCGCACCGTTCTTCTTCGAGGTCCCGCCGCCGCCTGCTGAGCTCCCGCCGCCGCCAGGGCAGACTTCCAACGGCGGCCCCGCCCACCAGCCCGAGAGACATCTGGTGTCCGGTGCGGGCGATGCGGATGACCTCAGCGCTCCCGGTGAGGCTCGGGTCACGTGGCTGCCGCCGATGCTGTGCACCGCCAGGGGGCCGGATAATCTGTCAGTCGGCACCGCCCGACCCGATCATACCTCGGCAACCAGGCAACCAGGTCATGTATCGGGTCACACCGCCACTTCTGGCGTGTCCTGTACCGGTGTTGTGTGATGGCGCGTCACACCGCAGGTGTCCATGATGCGAGTTACAGCTCACGCCAAGGTCACTCAGCTGTCACGACCAGGGTCACAGCCACCACCACTCCGAGGTTCTCGGGCCCCGTTCACGACTGATCCGCCATTTTCAGACACTTACAGAGCGTGCGCGAGCAGGTGTCGTCACCGGCCAGCTCCTCGGGCTGTGCTTTCTAAGTGTATCGCAGGCCCTCCCGGCTACCGCGGACCCCATCAAAGGAGCTTTCCAGTCTCTATCAGGCTGCTGCCAGGCGAGGCAAACGCACCTTTAGCACCTGCTTTCCTTCAGTAGTAAGCCCCACCCTGCAGCAGTGAAGCCCAAGTGCACGTGTGCAGATTCGTCGTGAAGTGGATAAATTACATGATCTGTCGGATCGCCCCTTCAGTAATCAAGTGTTTGGGGCCGCTCTCGTCGAGGAGCCGATTGCCAAGCGAGGACGCAGTAACAGACATTCCGTATCAGACAAGTGCCCAAGATGTTTGCCTGGACCGAACCTGTCCGTGCACCAGATACTAAAAATACTACACCGCACGCAGGTGTCCGCGTTTTGAAATGCTTGCTAGGCATAGCATACTGCGACGAGGTGAGCTCACGTCCCCAGCAGCCTAATGGGCAGCAGACGAGTCTAGGCAAAATATTTGAACGGGCGCTGATAGTACATTCTGTAACAAAGCATGCGATGCTTTGTTACAGAATGTACTATCATGCATGCCCGGATGAGTTGACCTCCTTGGTCACTCCTCGGTTGCCCAGGGCTCATGAGCATATACGTGCTGTTTGTGGGACGCCAACTCTTGTATCAGCCATATAACAGGGCCATGTGTGCGAGGCCTCATCGACTTGGCTGCCGAACAACTCCCAGCCGTGGCATGCAGGTTGAAATATTTCTGAATGCTGCTCCAGGCGATCGAGACATCGAGGCAAGCTGCATACCTATCAGGCTGTAATCCCTTGTAGTTAATTTGCATGCGAATCTAGTGCTTGTCATTCGGTCGGTCAAAAACGCTGGCGGCAAATAGGGCTACTTTTCCTGTCTTTGAGTGCCTTTGAGGAGATCGATAAAACCAGAGAACAGAATAATGCATCCCCATGCTCGCATTAATGACTGTGTCAGATGTGCATTTGCATGCACGCGACAGGTACAGAGCAAGATTCGTTGGATGAAGTCGCCGGACGGTGCCGCGCCATGTCGTACATTGACAAGGCTTCATACAGCGTCGCACCATATTGCAGGATATCGACCGGACTTTGATCAGTTTGCTAGTGTCTGCTCTTGCCGTCACTCCTGACCACCGTGGTCTGACCCCTGTGATCAGCCCTGATTCAGATGCGCTTGGCGTGATACCTAAGACAGCCAGTGACCAGCAGACTGCTCTGCCTGCTGTAGCCAGCAGCGAGAGCTGCCACTGTAATCACGATTGCCCTGTGGTCACCGTCAGCGTGTGACCGCTCTGACCCGGTGCGGCGTTTGGCAGACGGTGCAGGCGGCCTCTCCACATACATCCCCTCTCGGTTGGGGTCGGCGGCCGTCTCGTTCGAGCTGGGCGTGTCCCGTCCGCCGCCGCCGCCGGCGCACCCGGCCCCGGTGCCGCCGACCAGCCCCGACACACCGCTGTCCGTCCAGCACGAGGAAAACTGGAGCGCCGACATCAACGCCGACATGTTGTTCTAGTGCCGCGTGACCAGCAGATGAGCGCCGAACTGTGGAAGCGCTACGCTACGTCACGTTACGCTACCGGTGCCCAGGGGCGGACGCTACGCGATTTGAGAGACGCGTGCCGCAGTAAGCGGAGATAGTTGGCTGTTATCACTGCTGTTTGGATTGATTTGTTAGTGAGCGGAGTGCGTACCTGTTAACGAAGGAAGAGCGATTATTGTTAATCAGTTGTCCTCATGTCGAATCAGCCCTCAGTGCTCAGAGATAATGCCACCACATTGTACTCCAGAAGGATTCTAATAGCTGCGTATACAAATGTATCAGATATTGTTCAGTCAACGATTGTATTTTCTCTGATTTGCATGAAATGAATCATGCATGGCACGAACTCATGAACAGAAACTTGTCCCATGCTGAACGAGGAAAGGCTGCCGCAAGCCAGGCAGTCGCAGGCTCGACACCATCTAAATAATAAAACACGGGCGCTGGTTGGTGCATAGGCGTTCGACACCACGAGGCGCACCGAATAACATGGCTGATACCAGCACGGGGAGGACGTGGCGCGCCACCCCATCCACGGTGGCTACTGCCGAAGGTAGCTCGCGCGCCCTGGGCACATGGCACGCCGCCAGCTGCGCGAGGCGATAATGGGCCGCCATTAAAGGCCGCTCTCATCGATATCGTCACACCGATCTCACGCGACTCGACGGCTGACTTCCGCACCTCACCAGGCCATCCGCGCGGTTAACTCGAAACCTAAACAACGCGCTACGAGTGCGGTTGCGGGAAATCTGAACCTGGTCCTGTGGCACCAATGTCACGTTTGGTCAGAGGGTCGAAGGGTCATGACCAAATCCATCCTTCCGAAGCAAAAGACCGGTGCCTGCCTGTCGACATGCCCGCTGCCAATTGCTGACGTGTGCACTAGAAGAAACAAGTACGATTGACGAAATAATAATTCAGTTGGGGGCAAGCGCGTGACACTTGGAGAGGCCCGCGGACGTTTTTCTCCAATGCATAACATTCGTCACCGCGCGTGACAGGCAGGTGCACCCTATGCCTGCCTGGCCTTTGCACGAACCATTATGAACGATGCTGTATTTTTGTGTAGTTTTGTTATCGTTATATTTGCTTGTGCTTTGGCTATTCCTCATTTTATGTGCATTTTGTGTTGTACTTTGACCACATTGAATATTAACAAGATCGGTATGAGCAAAAGACATTAAGTCTCTGGTTTCTGCCCATTAATAGCTGTTATGCTAGTAACAATCTGCCTTCAACACACCAGAAGGCACTGATTAAGCAACACGATCACATTATCAGTTATATTATCAAATCTGTATAAATATAAGCAAGAAAGATCTTGCGCTGCTGGCTTTTTTGGCATTATGAGTTCTGAGTTCTTATGCCGACCTCCTCCTTACTAGGAAGGTACTGGCTAGGAGCTGTTGTCACGCACACATTGTCTATATATACTGTAAATGATCGACGTTTCGGGCTGTCCTATGATCACTAATGAAGCATGAACGTAACTCGTGGTCAAAGGCACGGCTCGAAACGTCTGGTATTGACAATCAACCCAATGCAACTCCTCACCCCCCCCCCCCCCCCACTGCTCCGCCACCCCTGGAGGCCTACGCTGTACAGCGATTAACTTCATACACAATACGATGTAACAAAAACTTTGAACGATCTGGCGAAAACTTCGATGATAATCCCATCAGAGCAGCGATGATACAGTAAGACGTGGGTAGACACCAGACTTTTGTGGAACAAGAGGCACTTCATGCGATTCGACCATGTGCAGATATATCAACAAAAGAGTAAGTCGCCTTCGATCTTATACAAATACGGCGCAAGAAAACTCGATACACGCTATGGCAATACAAATAATTATTTTGTTTGCGGGGGGAATTGGTTCGGTTAGATGAACACAATTCCGCGTCAGCTGATTATTAGCCTTCTACTCCAAAACATCGAAGAAAAAGGCGCGTAGCAAAGATAAACTACTAATTTAAGAAAAGTTTATTTGGTACTAACATATTTTTTGTCTAACTTAACCAGGAAAGAATGGCAAGGCTGCTCTCCTTGTGCCCATAAGGTAAAACAATGCTGCTCATTCCCATACCTGTGTGCTGTTTGTGGAGTTCTTTAAAATAAGATGCCATCGCTATGATCACCTGACACGCTCCTTCTGTTTAACTTTTAGTTACATTTGTATGATATTTGACGCGGCATGCAGAAACTTATTAGCTTGTAAGGCACGCCTATCAGCGTTCAATAAACTTATCAGCAAGTTGAGTCTAAAGACGGAGCCTGTCGCGCATCTCCAAAGGTCGCGTGATCCTCACAATAACACCTGCGGCTGTAGCTGATGGCCTTATTAGCATCTGAAATGTGGAGCGGAAGATGCCTCACACCTTCGGTCAAATTCGCTGTTCAAATAACCAGTTACGGACCCCCACTGCCACCACCACCACCATCCCCACTCACTCGGAGTTCTGACCCTCCCCCCCCCCCCCGGTCTAGCTCCACCACATACTGCAGCTAACTCGCTATGTCTTATTTGCGTGTTTTCATCTGACCGCGAGATTAAAGCGGCATAAGTCCGAGGAGAAACCGAAATCTCTGGTAGGTTTGGTGAATCCATATTCGGGATCGGTCATATCATTGGTATGTCCCAATGTCCCTACCCCCGCCGAATGACCAAGCCACCACACTACAAACACTAAATAAATTGTCGCCAAATTATGCACACTACCACACTACCAGCCATGGATAATGTGCAAGATTAAGATGAATGTCCAAATATGCGCCCAATCCATTTATATCCACGTCGTGATTTTACGAAAGTATTCCGCCACCGGCCAAACTCCTACGATAACAGTTTCAACAATCGGGTGTCACATTGAATATATTGAAACATTGCAATTTTATCTTATGCCTGTAACAAGAAAAGAATATCATGTTGCTGACATGAAAAAGCTTCTTTTACAAGATAACAACTCACATCTATCCGTAAGGTGAGCGGTTGGCTGCATCAGGCCATGCCGTTACAAATGCTGTGGCGCAACTGAATGCATGACTGTCATTGTGAACGCGTATAAAAATCACCAAATCTGTTAATATTAAACTTGATTTGTATCTTGCAGCTTCCCACTTACCGGTCTGGATCCCTCGCGACTCTAAAGATGATATCTTCATCATCGACTTGCGTTTTCTTGTGTTTTTCCAATCATAATCAACGCATTTAACATATTTCAACCTATGATCCATGTTTACCGACTCAACACAACACCATAGGGCTCACAAGGGAACTTCATAGTCAAGATTCATAGTTAAAGTATTTTATGCATTACTGATGTCCGCAGCAAAGCGCCTACCACAGTTGCCATGGAAACAATAACTGATATTTTGTCTGCCACGCGCTAGATTATATGTCAAAAGCTCCCATTTCCTAATCATTGCCGCCATGTCGCCGCTAGCTCCACGGAAGTGTCATGGCCAGCCCTTGCCGCCAGCTTTTTTTAACCTCAAAAAGCCAAGGTCGCATACAAATTCAATATCGTTAAAAACGTGAGTAATTCCTAGTGCCTTAAATGGGGCACAGAGTTAAAGGAGGCTTATTTTTTGTACTACAGGTGTGATTCTATTTAATGTTGCTTTTGGTACATATTGCCCCGTATTAAATGGCCCGGACCGCGTTGCCTAGCATTGATTCGCCTTGCCTCAGTCGTAGTTTTGTACCCACCACCAATGTTCCGAATTTGTATAGACCTTACAAGCAAGATAATTGCCGGAATGGTATCGTTTCACTGCAGTGCAAGTGTCTTTTACCCCTCTGCTAAAAATGCGGAATACTTTACAGCTGTAGTACAGAATGCAGATTCTGTGCACGATTGTTGGATAATTCATGGAGAAAAGTTGCCAAAGCCCGCAAAATGCAAATATTAACCATATTTCTTAACGCTGAAGAGGTTAACTGGCTACGGACCGCCTGTATGAAACCATTTGTGTTTTTTTCCAGCTTCAGATGAGCAAGCCTACATCCATTTGCCTACCTGGCTTACACTTAACCAAGCACTTACGGCAGTTGCAACACATGGTCTCGGACCATGTGGACCATGGACCGCTTGCGCCCTTCGCTCACACATGGTCTCGCTCTTGAAAGGCAGCCATTCAAGTGACCCACGTCCTAACTCAAGACCCACGCGACTGAGCAGGCGCGCGCACCACCTCTAAGATCCGTCTGGGCGCGCCAACATGCTCTTCCGAAGCGCTGCCGCCCCGCCAGAGGACATCTCCGACCGTGGCTACGACGCGCAAAGCGAGGACGACAGCGAGGAGGAGGCACCGCGACGGCACCAGAAGCGATTCACGCGTCGCGCGCGGCCGCCGCTTGGCCATCCATCCAGCACCGGCTCGCCGCCCGACTCAAGCCAGTCGAGCACCGGCTACGGCTCCAACATCGAGCGCTCCGACAGTGGGCACGCGCTCTTCTACGACGCCGAGCTGAAGGCGTGGCGGCGCAACGAGGCGGCCGTGCGGCGGAGGCGCACGCGCGCGCAGCGACTGGCGGCAGAGGAGCTCACTGACGCCGTGCGTGATTTGCACCGCACGCCCAGCGGCACACCTGCTGTATACGACCGGAAGCGGGGCTGCTGGCGCCGCGACCCCCGCCCCAAAACCGTTAACTATGACGCGCTGACGGCCGCGCAGCAGGAAGCCAAGCAGACGGCCAGCGGCACGGCCATCTACTACGACTCGCGGCGGCTGGAGTGGCGGCGCCGGCGCCGGCACGCCTCGGACGTCCCGGACCCGAGCGCCGCGCAGGTGCTGCTCAAGCGCACCGCTAGCGGCTCGGCCATGATCTACGACGACGTGCGCCAGGTGTGGAAGCGCAAGCTAAAGCGCAGTGCCGGCCGACTCGCGGTACGCGAGCGACGCCGAGCGTAGCGACTGCGCGCTGGTGCAGTCGCACGGCACCTGGTACCTCGAGAAGAAGCGCAAGCACCTGCCAGGACGGCGAGCTGACCAAGCGGCAGATCGAGGCGCGGCGCACCGGCAGCGGCACACCCATCTTCTATGACAACGTGCAGCAGCACTGGGAGCGGCTGTCGGCGCTGCCGGACGACTCGTCCACGAGCGCGACCGGCGGCCGCGGCAGCAGCGGCAGCCCTCGACGTCGCTACAGCCACCGGCACCACCACGGCTACAAGCGCATCTCCTACCTCTACACGAAGAACAAGCTAACTGGCAAGTGGCACAAGAAGAAGATGACGAGCCACGACAAGTACGGCAAGCGTTTGCGAATGCCGGACGGCGGCTATATCTACTTTGACGAGGTGCGTGGCCGCTGGCGCAAGGCGGGCCGCGATGTCGAAGGCGACGGCCGGAGGAAGAAGCTGTCGCTGCTCGCGCGGATACAGGAGTTCTTCTTCGGGGACCCGGACGACGACGACGGCGACTCGGTGACGGACGAGCCGACCGGCCTGGCCATGAGCGAGCTCTCGGCCAGCCCCCGTCGGCGTGACGCTCAGCCGGCCGCCGCTCAGAGTGGCGGCGCGTCAGGCATGAGGCCTGAGACTACGGCGCATCAGCGGCTCGGACTGTGGGGAAGAATCAAGCGATTCTTCCGGTCGATGTGCAGCTGGATGAGGGTGTGTTAGTGGTCGTTGGAGCTATCGTGGGCATAACCATGCGACGGACGCGCAGATTTCGTATTCTATGACGGTATCCAAAGTGAAGTCAAAAACGTGTGCGCTGGTGCATAGTGTGAATCAGTTAATGGAGACCCTGTGTTTTAATGGCATCCATGGTTGTGAGTTTCACAATAGGAAAGCACTAGACTTAGTGTGTACATGTTTGCAGTTGAGTTTGCTATACACGCTGCGATGTATGTGAATGACTGATACAACCCTGGCTGTCTTTTTGCCGAAGGATCGGCGCCGGCGGAAGCTTGCACCATTCCCGGATGCTCCAAGATAGCGGATACTCGGACTTGCGTTAGCGGATCTTGCACTGAGCTTGAACAGAAAACACACGAAAGAGCGACACTGAGCTCAACTCGAATGTTCCGTACCCTCAATGTCAAACAGGATCTCGGGAATTTTCCCCGGCCATCGCAAAGCCAATTACAGACGACAACATCTGAAGCAACAGAATGTTGTTTGGTGTCCTTATGCGATATCAGTTCCCCCGATGTTCTCAACAGACACGATCAACGGCATTATGATCCCCAGGTACGTTGGTGGAACCTGCCATCTTACGCTGAGCACGGAGGGATCTTTCAGGAGGCTCAAACAGCTCTGGCCGTGAAATACTGCACCGGCAGCCGCAGGAGCAAAGCAGAGCATCGCGGGACAACATGAACCCGGCAGCAGGACAGCAAGCCGCCTGCACGGCGAAGACATGTCAATCGAAGTGAAGAGATATGCTTCAGTAACGCAGGCAGGGGTTCGGGAGACACAGCCCCGCCCCCCACCTCCCAGGTTCCGAACGGCCCAAAGGACCCCTCGAGACATACCACCAAGGGTCCGAAAGGCTGTCCGGATGTCGTATTCAGGAGCCCGGCCCGCACGGCCGGGTACTTCACTGCCACCCAGAGGGCTCTGCGCGCTGAACAGTGGCCCCTGGGTCGATAATGGCCTATCTGTCGGTCAGACACCACCAATAACGTACAGCCGGCTGTGTCGGCATGGGCCTGAGGGCCTATTCCCCATGCAGGGTCAAAGCAGGAGCCAGCGATTTATATTGGTCGGGGCCCCAGCGTCTGTTGAACCACACAGCGCCTAACAGGGAGCACCGTGTCGGCAGGGGACAAGAGTCGGCCAGAGGCAGTGTTCGAGGAAGCCCAAAGAGCCTGAATGACCCATTGGGACCGGCGATCAAGAGCCTAACTGGAGGGCCTAAGAGCACGAAGGGCTGGTCAGGTCTTATTCAGGGGGCTCCAGCCTGCGGGTAGGGGCCCTAAGGTGACAGTGAAAGGACCCCTTCGCGCCGATCGGTACCCTTGAGCCGATATGTATATGTCGGCCAGGTACCACCATCGCGGCACAGTCAACTCCGGGTCGATATGGACCTAAGGGCCCACTCCCCAATCAGCTATAAAGCCGGGACCAGCGATTTACACAGGTCGGGGCCCCTGAATCTTCGGGCGGCCCATTAGAAACGTCGATCAACAGCTCGGTTGACGGGCATAAGGGTCCGGGGGCCGGAGGACTGGCTGTAGGTCACATAAAGAATCGGGGCTCATGTCGTCGTGACTTAAAATATCAGCCAGAGGCCCGCTTGCGCCGTTTGAGGACCTCTGAGGCAATGCGAGTGTCTCGGTCGGCCCGAGGCCACGAACATGGCATAGTTGGTCCCTGTTAGTCTGAATCCTGGGGGCCCATTTTCCACGCAGGAGCAAGGCCGGGGGCCACGACTTGCATTGGTCTTCGTCCCTGAAACAGTGGTTGGGGTCCCTGTGTCAGTCAGGGGCCCACAGTGCCTAACGGGAGATCATGTGTCGGTTAGTGTACCAGAGTCGGTCACGGGCTTTTTTGAGGAGGTTCGGGGAGGGATCAAAGGGCCTCTCGGGGTCAAATATCAGGGGCCCGATTGGAAGGGTGAAGGGCCCGAACGGCGGGTGTAGATCACATTAAGAACCCTCGCCCAAAGAGCCGTAATCTCAAACGTCAGTAAGGTCCCTTGTACCGATTGAAGGCCTCTGAGACAGAGCGTTCCTCTACTTCGGCCAGAAATCACCAACACCGAACAGCTGAACCCGTGTCTGTCTGGGGTCTCAGGGGCCCATTTCCCAAGCAGGGACAAGGCCGGGCCCGCGATATGTATTGGTCAGGACCCCTGCAACAATGCGGGGTTTCTGTATCGGTCAGGGGTCCCGTGCCTTACAAGATGGTCTGTGTCAACAAGGGCCCTCCAGCAGTGGAAGGGATATCACAACTTGTAATGAGTGTTCACCTTGAGACAATCGAAGAGTCCTATACCAGTCAGAGCCGCCAGTACCGAGCGGTGGGTCCTCCAATCCAATTCCAGCAGGGGCTCGTTAAGCCGAAATGGAGTTTATGCGCCAATTATTGGACCACCTGCGGGATCAGGGATGCTGTTGCATCAATGAGAGTTTCTGCGTCGATCTAGGTCCAACTGCGCGGGTCAGAAGGCCTTACGCGTCAGGAGGGGACCAATGTGATGTGATGTATCCCTCTCAGGGCCTCCGGATAAACCAGGGGATCCCGCCCCGTGCCGCCAGAATGGCAGCCGGAAGACACCTCGCGGTGGAGCAGCTTAGCCCTTCAGCCCCTGCCTGGAAACAAAAATGTGCTCCTTAGTGTTCAACTTAGAGGCCTCCTTGCCCAGAAAGAAACAAGAGGTCTCGTATCGTTCGTGTAGATAAAAGTGCGTTGAAATGAGTTCAAAAACAAACGAGGCATCCCATTTTTGCCTGCGAATGTTCATTCCTTTGCAAAATCGGTTATGGTAACAAATTGCGTCAAAAGGTTTGAGCCTGCGCGTCCACAATCTCGGAAGTAAGAACAGCGATGGTCTGGTTTGCAGCTGTCGTAAAACCGAAAGACATCGGCCACTGCAAGGAACACCAGGCGCCACGCGCGAGAACGACCGTCGGGAAATAATGCTTCCGGACGTCTCTCAAGATCAATCCGTGCCATTCAAAGATGAGGCTGGGTCTATGTTTTTACAACTTTGAGGTTGTCTTCTGGACAGATGAATGGTTACAGCAACATAAAAGATAAAAGTTCTGCATTTACCCATCCAGTTCTATCACCACATTCCAGCCAGCATCATTTCGCGGTGCCGTAACTGCCAATCTGTTCATAATATCAATCTAAAAATCGCACCGGTGAAACATACGCTCGGACTGCTTTCTTAATGTAGGATTTGACCTCGTAAAGCATTCAAAGGTACTTCTTTCAGATGCGTCATCATTCTCGTCCGCCCGTTTGCCACGGCCTTCCAGTAGCCACGGGGCCGACGTCGCGCGGCCTATGGAGACTGCAAAGGCTGGAGTCGAGTTTTTTTTTTAAATTTGCAAGCGTGCATGTTCAGAACTGCGTACATAATCTGTAACACTAATCGATTCTGATTAGATGTTGAACTTTTCGAACAAAAAAACAGCTTGGCCAAATTAATGTAAATCGTTGGCCCGTTTCGATCTGCGATCTATATTCGCGGCGTCCTCGCTATCTCCGTAGAACCCAAACAGAAATTGTGATGAGGCTTCTGAGTAATGTCTGTTTGGAAAGAATCTACCGCACCATTGTAAAATGGAGTGTGCCGGCGATTTATTCCATGCAGCCGGTCAAAGGCATGATTTCTTCAGTCTATTGGCTTTTAAATTAAGTTAGAATCTATCTCGCAGTGGCTTCTGGCTTATATTCCAGTGATAAAAGGAAAAATTGAGAAATATTAATGAAAACATGCCCGCATAACAAGTGGGTCATATCCGGCGACTTCTGGGGGGAGGGGGAGAGGCTCTTTTTTACTATCAGGGGTTCTTTGTCAACCTTGTGTACCTCCCCCCCCCCCCCACCCCGCCTCCTTGCCAAGGCGCTGGCTGCGCGTCCGTGTAACTGCGTCTAGCATGGAGCTTAATCACGCTACGGGTCTATAGGTTACCTGCAGGAAACTTCTGCGGGTGATAAATTCGATATGGATGCCTACTAACGTCATATAACAATACCCCGAAACATCAAACGTGACATTTACGATAACTCCCGCTTTGCACCACGATCTTGACGCACAAAGGTTCTGGGAGCACGCAGATACGTGCGATATCAGACAGGTTCAGCTTCGGAGGGCACTTCACAGGGATATGATATCAGACTTTTCTTTCATCTCTGGGCAAATAGACTAGATCTGCCCATCAGAAGTCCACAAACAGCGCAAATTACGTCGGTCAGGAATGTGCTTGTCAGGCGAAATATATTAAGAAAAGATCAGACCATGACCTTGCTGTCACGTTTATTTTTGCGCTCGCAGGTAAGTGTACACAATAGAACATTGATCAACGCCCACACACATGACCTCATACTAATCGCATTAGAGTGCATACGATAAGTGTCTAATTACCCACGACGTGCAGCGAGCCTTTCAGGCACTAACATAACCACAGAAAACGATTTACTTTCAAATCAAACCACCACGTGCAACAGCGACTAACTGGAGCAGCCACAGGTACGCACAGAATGAGGCGACTTCTCTTCACAAACGCGAAAACCGAGAGACCTTGCCATGCCTAAATACGGAAGTTGAAATAAATCAAAACGGACAGATAAGGTTCCGAAATCCATTGGCCAGTCCCGTATCAAGTTCCCAGCGCGCGAAGCTACTGCATGTACAGAGAGCACGCACTGACTTGTCATTTGAAGCACGAGGGCGCATGGTAACTTTAATAGACTGGGCACATGGAAACTCCGTCAAAAACTGCACCGGTCTTGATGTTAAAACCTTATGTGCAACAATTCCACCGATTGTGGTGCGAGCAATGCAACAGGAAACATATCCGTCCAGCTGTGTGGTTTCCTTTTCAGTTCGGTAGGGGAGGGGTGGGCTGGAGCCTCTCCTAACCTTAAGAATGAAACAAAATACGGGAAGAAACTCGTTCGTTGGCCTAGCTGTGGAGGTAGGCATCGCCATTTTTGAACGCGCGAAAGCAGAAATACAAGCGCGTGAGATTTTGTTGCCATATTCACGAGTGCATCGGCGCTTTTTACATCACATCAGATTAACTTATACAACCCACCTGCAATACAAACATGAATGTTTCAACCAGTGTTCAGCAGGCACGTGGTCGCATGCGTGCACGTGCTTCAAAGAAATACGGATATTTCTTCGGTGTCGTTTGCTGACACGCTTCGCCTGCGCGTACGCTAACAATTTCCGAACTCATTAGCCTATTTCCAGACCGCGCCTGCAACCGGACCTGAGCGCAGGCGGCGATGCGGCGGGCGGACGGTGTCCTGATGAGCTTCACCTTTATAAAAAAGAAAAACGGGAACGACAAACGCAGGCTGAGCTCCGTCGTTGGAGGTTTTCCCTTACCCACATGTGTGGAGTTGCGGGCCCGAGTCCGACCAAAGAGCTGGCGTTCGGTCATTTCGCGATACGTTCGCAAAGTTATCCCCGGCAAGTTCGCAGAAAAGTTCGCCGAGAGGGGCCGCGACGCTGTTTAGGTAGGAACTTCCACAAGTGCTTAAACGACCGAAACAATATGAGACGGGAGAGAACCGAAAGAAGCGGAGACTGACAGTGTCGCGGTGCAAAATGTGCTACCAAATGTGGTATTAAAGTTTGCGGGTGGAAACTGGTTGCTGCATGTTGTCCATCAGACCTGTGCATGCCGAAGGTACCCAATAAACAGCAACCAAAATGTCAACGAAAACGACAACTTCACGCCATCAAAAGCTTTATTCAGGTGCGATTCCAATTACAAAAAATATGTTTTGCGGCATGCTGACATTATAGCACGCGCTCCGCAACTTAGCATAGACACCTAAGTCCGACTGGAGGAAAACTGTACAATAAACCAATAATCAGGGTACTGATCGACGACGGACGATTTCAGCAGCCCCCACGATCACAGTATAATAGTAGTTGTATTATTTACCTGCAGATACAGCTGTCCTGTTGACACGCCCTAGCTCATCTTGAATGCTTGGCGCAATGGCTGCAAACATCTAGTACGCTACAAGCAGAAGTGTTGCAGCCTAGACGCCGCAGCTCAAAAAGAGTAAATAAATGCAGTGTAACTCAGACTTTCCAGCAGTGCAGTGGTCTCTCAATCTTGGCACACGACATGACCACAGGCCTTGAACTTTTAAAGACAACCCCACAAGAAAGCTTGCAAATATGGCCAGTGCAGTTGGTCCGCGCGGCTTTGCCACACACCCACGGTCCTTCGCCAATTACTTCGCTCAGTGCCTCACAAACGCGTTGCATTCTCCCCTGGCTTTGGTCAAGACATCTACTCCCTATTAACAAACAAAAATCCAGCACCATCAGGTTCACCAGTGCGGTCTCGGAACGTAAGCGCGAGATGCCTCACACCGTCTACCAGAAGACGGCGCCGCCGCCCGCGCCGCCCACCCACTTGTCGCTCTTCTGCTGGGACGTGACGACGCGCGCGCCACTCATCGCCGCAAGCTGCGCCATGTTGGGCGCCACGCCCGGCGGCGGCGGCGGGATGCGCGGCTGCGCGTGCCCGTCGAACCGCGCGCCGGCATTGAATGCACCCTGAGGGCAAGCCGTGCATCAATGACGACAGAGGCAGAGGTACCACGACGGCGTGATACAACGGAGGAGAGAACACGGAGGAGAGAATGGTGCCCTGCATAATGATCACAGGGGCAGACAAGACACGGAGGAGTTTGTAAGCATTCATTGCTGATGCAAGAAAATGGTCAAGTCCGGGAGTGTCCCGGGCCTAAAATCAGACGGGCACAATGATTCCAATGCACGGCTGTATGAACTTCAACACAACAGGCACTGACTGGGTTTAAAAATGGTGGTTGAATTAATTGAATCTAAAAACAGCTGGTGCAGGTCAAGGTAGCACTCGCTGATCGCCACAACGCCACGGTCATCTGCCGAACTCACGGACCACATTTCTCACCCTCCCTCTTTCTCTCCCACCAGGCCGTCCACAGCGCCTCTCTCACCGGCACATGGACCTCCGTGCCAGGTCCCATCTGCACGCCAGGGGGCGGGTACTGGCCAGGTGCCATCACCATTGCCGGCTGCCCAGCCCACTGGGGTGGGCCGGAGCCAGCTGGCAGCGGCTGACCGTAGCTGTAGCCGGCCGGTGGTTGGCCATAGCTGGGGGCGGCCGAGTAGGGTGGCGGTGGTTGACCCCACGCACCACCCTGAGAGGCCACCTGCCCACAGGAACACAAGGTCGGTTCAGGGACTAGGCTGACATGTGGGGGAGGTGGGTTGCCAATGGCAGGGGGGTACAGGGCAGGACAGTGTCACATAAGGATTGCCTGGTAATAATCATTCAACATGATGCACCAGTGCACCCCAGCAAGCCTGAGATCTCACCCTTACATGTCTTTTGACTGCCCTGATATGCAAGCAGAGCCCTAGACTAGCCCAGCACACACCTGCAGTTGTTGTTATTGGGACTTTATAATACACTCAGCAGCTGGGGCTATATGGCATTGCCTGGCTCTCTCCCTTGAAGGGTGGGTGCTGCAGGGAATCAAGCCCTCAACATGTCCATCTCATTTCCCTCCATCTCTCAGATGCAGAGCACATCCCATACACATAAGCACTCCACACACCTGCTGGGGGAATGCAGCGTAGTTCACAGGACTGTAGGCAGGTGGTGCCGTTGGATATGTCCCTGGTGCCTGGACTGGGTACGGACTTCCACCAGGTATGCCTGTGAGCAGCAGTACATACACATTTACTGCAGGGTCATGAATACTTGCAAGAAGGCTTGTAAACTAGTAGCATACTTAAATGGGCACAACTCACTGCCACAATCATATCTAGTTATTACCTTTCTTGTGTGACATCTCAGCTGTAATCTGCAACAAACAGACACACATGAACAAACTGCATGAGGGTCATATCAGCACAGGGATAACAGTTAGCATATCAGGACCAGACCAGGTCCATCACTGCCTCATGCAGTGTCACTGTATCCAGCCATTTGTCACACATCAATACTGTGGAGCATGGTAGACCTGCCAGGGCTTTAACACTAGCCGAGGAGCAGCCAACCCCAATGGGAGTACCAAACTAGGTTTATAGCAGCAACCACAAGGACCATGGGAGATGTTAGCCTTCAGAACACAAGTGAATTTGCCAAGTGATATATCTTAAACATTGCTAGCAGCTCCCACAATGAGGAAGATATGCAAGCCCTTTTCCTTGTAGACCAATAACAGATTGGCAGTCCTTATTCTGAGGGAGGAACTGTGACCATTGTTTCCAAAAACCTGTTCTTAGTTTGACATGAGTAATGGCCATTCTACATATTAAAATGAGGTATGGTCCAGGCAAATAGACACCAAATTGCTAGGGACGTTGCCAACCAAAGGAACACGGTTCTTCTAGATAACGCACTGCTAATGATTAACTCCAATCACTGCACCCGATACTAACTCCACGCCCGCGTGCTGCAGGGTTACGTGCGCTGTTGCCAACCAAAGGAACACGGTTCTTCTAGATAACGCACTGTTAATGATTAACCCCAATCATTGCACCCGATACTAACTCCACGCCCGTGTGCTGCAGGGTTACTTGCGCTGAGACGTTGGCCCCGTCGCAGCGCACCACACGAGATTGCTCTCAGCGGATGCTGTGGGTGCTTATTTATTCCAGTAGAAATAAAACGCCACTCCTGGCTAAATTGCTCAATGCTTCAAACCAATGACGCGTTCGATCTGTCGTCAGCACGTTTGTCAGCACCAATCACGACCTAACATTGATCTACGTCACGCCACGTGATCGCAAGGTAACGCGGCCTTAGACGTCACGCGCTGGCTGATAATGATGCTAGAATTGCATTCGATCTGGCGTCAGCACATTTGTCCACACCAATCACGGTCCACTATTCGCCTACGTCACAGCATTTGATTACAAAGGGCGCGTTCGGCCGTCGGATAATCTCGGAAAATTATCCGGAGTTTCGAAAAATCTTCCGGAATGACGTTCGGCACTGCCGTCACAGAAAATTATCTAATATAATTTTTCGAAGCGAGGGAGAATCGTGGAGAATTTTCGGAACATGGTCAAGACGGAGAATCTGTTTTTGCTATGCATAGCCATAACCATTGGCTGCGGATGGCACATGGGAGACTAATCTGGGGGATAGTTTCCGGACCGCCCGAGTATAAATTGAGAATCTCAGCTGATGATTACCGGCGAGATAAATATTTATTGAATATTTTCCTTTGGCCGAACGCACCCAAAGTCACATTACCTGTGACGTCATGTGTCGGCTTACGGTGATGCCAGGATTTTTTGTCAGCTCGTCAGCATAGAAAGCAATCACTACGCGGTTAGAAAATCCCGCTGACAAAGAAGCGGGAGTTCGATTTGCTAGGTGTTGCGTTCGCGAGTACGTTAGGTGGGGCGGGAGCATCTGTCCCTAGTTGTGGGCAAATGCGACGTAAGATAGCTGTAGAGGGAATTTAAATGCTAAGAGTGGCCATGAACGTGTGAATGACAGGGATGGGTGCGATGTGCGGTGCGTTCCCCAGTAAACGTAAAACGCGATTATTTATAACGCGATAAATGAACTCTTAAAATGAGATAGAAGAAATTAAAACACACTGGAAATTGGAAGAAGCGCTCAACATCCGGATGGGGGTAGATGATGGTAAGGCTGGAACAGAAGACACACTTCCGAACACCACTTTGTAGGTAGTGTGTCCTGGTCGGCCGTAAGCCAGTTGGTGTGTGGTCTGAAGTAAAAGATAGAAGACGAAAAAAAAGTAAGGTTCAAAACTTTCCCGTCAGCCCACACATCGAACGCTCTGTTAGCACGCATAACGTCACGCATTCCAGCTGGCAATCGTGCCGACGACAGATTGAAGTGGGCCTAGCTTTCGTATTGCGTTCCCTAAAAAATAAAATTAAGCAACTGCAATGTCAATGACCAACTACTCTTCAGGCTGACCTTTCGCGGAACTTTCGCAGACTTTCGCGGAACATCTGCACTTATTTGGCAGCTTTGCAGCAATTTTTCCATCCGTGGCGTTTTACTGCTTACCGGAATAAGCACGAATGAATACGTATTTGAGTTGAGGGACTAGACGACCAAAACACCTATTGACTAACGAATGTTCCGAGCCTGTTGTACAAATCGCCACAAAACCACTACCACTCGATACGTCATGTTTAATAACGTCTCCGGCAAGAGATGAATGGCCCTGGTTGGGTTATAGGTCGCCAAAAACGTCTGAAACCACTATAGATTTGTTTGCAAACAGCCCCATGGTCAAGACCGGGACCAATCACGGTAAAACCTTCACCATTCGATGCACCACAGTCGATATTCTTTCCACTCTAGAAGATGAGAAGCTTTGGTCCTGTCAAAGGTCACCAAGAACGTCCCAAGCCGTCAAAATTTCCGGCTCAGCCCATGCTTTTTCGGGCTTCGGGGCTGTTTAGTGATCTTTGACCTGACCCAAGGTCACCATCTTCTGGAGAAGGCAGAATATTGCTTGCAGCGCATCGTCTGGCGAATGTTTTGTGGTGACCGGTTTTATGCAAGCTGGGAGCATAGGATTGTCTGTAAATCTATTTTGTCTTGGTTTGGGACATTTTTGGTCACCTTTTACCGCCATCAAGGCCGCCATCATCTCAAAAGATAGGCTATCAATCAAATGGTGAAGTTTTGGTGTCAATCAGTTTGCGAAGTGTGCGTGCGCATAGAGTTATCAACAGGTTTCGTCGACCGTTTCGGCCCTCCCGTCTCTATCGAGGCCTCCTGACAGTATTTCATTTGGACTTGGCTTATCACCACCCTTGTATTGTGGTCTCCTTGAGAGAGAGGTGTATGTATGTGGGGTTCTGCAAGAGCCAGGCACCGATCTGGAGTCGGGTGGTTGGGTTCCAGCCGGCGGGGGATCAGGCGTATCAGCGCATTTTGGAGCAGGGTGAGCTGGGCCAGGACCGGGGCTACGCATAGGGTATGCTGTAACAGGTGGGGGCAGTTGTGCGGTTGGTAAAAGGCAACGGAGTGAGTGGAAGTATGAGAGATGTGAGTGAGATAAATGCCTGATGCGGCGTCCCAAACTAGATAACTGGTGGGTTATTCAGAGAACCAGAGGACAACAAATGTGAACTTAAGGGGTGAACAAGAAAAATTAACACAGACATTGAACTTGAAAGCAGTAAGTTGCTCTGTGCTTTTTCGTAGATATGCAGAAGTTTACAGGTGCTTCATGCTCTAGCAGTAGCAGTGAATCCTGACTAAGAGACATTCAAAATCCCAGAGACCATTCTGGGGAATTATTATTGTCCTCCATTTGATCTAATGCCATCAGATGCCTTGTGAAGACTGAAAGCACTCTGTCACCTTAGCCTCAGCAGAAATTCTGGCATGTGTAGTGTATAAAGAAATGACTCACATGCTCCAAATTGATTGACTTGTATGGATCTAGTCTTATAGTAGTATGGATCAAGCATCTCTCAAAATCAAGGAGGAAGTAGGATGGAGAATCAAACTGAAATCTGGAAATTACCTGACTGAAAATAGTTCATGATTCACGCAAAACAAACAGATAAACTTTTATGTAAGCAATAATTTGGATTTAGACTCACATACAAGAGTAACCCAGATCATACCAGCCAACTTCTTTAGACCACATGTCACCAGTGATATCAATAAAACAACAAATGTGCATGATTTTCCCCTTTAAAATGGAAAACCAAGATTTCACCAGAAATGACATGGACTGTTTGCCATTAGCAAGACATATAAACTCAACTGAACACAGTATTACCTTATTCTATTATTTTGAGCCACATACTGCAGAGGGCTTTACATTTCATACTTTGCTATAGAGCAGCTGCAGCTGTTCCGTTCTTCCATGCGGGGTTGGTCCTCTGGCTGGCTGCATGCAAATTGACCTTTGAATATCAGCTGACTCATCAGTATACATATTCAAGGAGTCAGGACTTGTGATATTGTCACCAGGTTATAAATCCAGCCTTTTGCCATCTGCTATGGAGGTGTACATGCAGACCTTGTCATGGGGACGGTTTCATATGCATTTGGAAATTTGACAGGAATTGACTGTAAAAAGACAAAGTCAGGATGGCTGTTAGGGTACAGACTTAAATAATGTAACATTGCACACTGAATTTCTTTGACCAGTGTGGTGACTCAAGCAGAGTCAAGGCATGGCCACCAAATATCCTGCTGTGGTGGTCATATGCCCTGGTATGGCTTTAGGGATAAATTCTGCTGCAGGCTGATGCTTAAATAGCTGATTAGAATGGTTTTATGCATATAACATAAATGTATTATTAAGCGACTGCATTGTTGCATGTTCTATATCTGTCAGAAAGGCTGTTCGGGGCAAACATGCCTGCCTGGTCATAATGCTTGGTACTTCCTGCAGAAACCACTCAAAAAGTTGTCTGCATTTTTCACCTGGCATGTGCCCCATCCTTGTAACCTTATGGTTCTGCTGCCAAAATGCTGAATCTTGATTTGAAATGAGGTTGTGATATATAGAATTTTGGCAATGTTTCGGGTAATGATGTTGGGATCAGGATCAAAGCCTTTGCAGAGCAGGACTTTTTACAATGGTCATGACCCAAACATCCACAACTTTCCTGGCATGCCACCCACTACACTGTGTGGCATGGCCACCATGGTATGAGCCTGGCTATTGTGATCACCTGGCAGTTGGTAATCAGTGGGAGTCACTTTGGTGTGGTTTTTGGTCACAATCCTGCATGTGTGTTGTATATTGATCAAAACATCCAGTGCTTGACTGGTGGAATCAAGTGATGTCAAATGGTATGGAGCTATGCAATGTTAAATGTCATGGAGCTATACAATGTCTATGAATTTCCATTGCATCTGATGAATATTCCTGGACTTTTCCCCACTTCTGAAATGCAAGCTATCTGAAACCCCAAACAGGGCATGCCAGGGTCACATGTGACCTTCCTTTTCAGGAGATTTCACCATAGTGCCTCCTTGCCTGGCTGCAATGCAGTAGGGCTGGGATCTGTCCAGCTGGGGTGCCTCTCCCTGGTGCGGTGGAGCCCACTGCCGGCTGGCTGCTGGTGCGCTGAGCACCGGCAGCGCGATGGCGGGCGCCGGCGTGATGGAGGACGGCCTGTGGCGCGAGGCCGTCCACTGGCTGACGCAGTTCGGCGTGCTGCCCGCCGACCACCGCTGCTGCCTGCCCGACAGCAAGCCCATCGACCTGCTGTACACGCTGCGGGATGGCGTGCTGCTCTGCCACCTGCTGCAGAAGATCGATCCCGCGACCATCGACATGAAGGACGTCAGTCTCAACCCGCAGCTGGCGCAGGTGAGCGGCCGCCGCGACTGCTTCCCGGTCGGGTGCCGAGGCGACGCTTCTCTGCCGCTGTGACAGAATGTTTCAGATGACGTGCTAGTGCAGACATCGGGACTGATGTCCTTGCCAGTGGTGTGATCGTTTGCACGGGGTCTCGGCCACTTCAGTCCGGCCGTTGTGAGGCGTTTGTTGCTCCTGAAGAGGGACGCTTTATATGTTAGGATTCGATGCTTCGATGGGACCACTTGATGCATGACGTTCTGCTTCGCATCGCGACAAATGAGACCACCTGTTGCTTGATACAAGCAATTCCCGCATCATTTGATTACACCTCCCAGCTGCGTGCTTGCGCAAAGTTCTGTTTTTGTCCGCACCGGGCCCTCTCTGGCATCAGCTTCTGCCGGGATTGGGGGCTTGAATGCCAGAAGCAGTTATATGGGCAGGACATAGCCTGACATTTTGCATCTATAGGTATCATTCAATGATGGCATGTGATAACTGTTCATGGATGATCCGTTGACCTGCTCGTTACGATGGTCACCACAATGTCGCACCCTCATTACATTGGCTGCACTCCCAAATGCCCTGTGATTAGCATGCGTTCATCACTTGCTCAGGTATTGCTTATTTGTTGAAGCTGCATTCCCGAATGCGCGATCATTGTGGCCCTTGTGTTCAGGTAGACTGCATGCCCGCGGTTTCCCCTTGTGGTCGTGTTACTCACGATCAGCTGGCATGTGTGCTCCGAGGGGTGAATGGAGGTGCGGGCCGCCGGCACGCTGACGCCCGTCTGTCCGTTCCAGTTCCTCTGTGCCAAGAACATTCGGGTGTTCTTGACGATGTGCAGTAAACACTACAACATCCGTGAGGCTGACCTGTTCGACCCGAGCATGCTGTTCGACTACACGGACTTTGGAAGGGTGAGGACACAAAACTGGCATCTGTGTTTGCGGTGGTATGATGCGTTTTGTTACTGAATATTGCAGGTATGGCCAATATTCTGATTGAGAAGTTATAGCTATTGTTTGAAGGTGATTCCCAGCAAAGCAATGGCACTGTGTGGAGTCAGTATGTTTGCTCTGCTTCTCCTGCCATACCGATGAAAACGGTTTGTGCAGTTCATTGGTATCGTTATGCATGCACGAGTTTCAGTACTTGATTACCTCGGTGATCTCACTCGGCTGTTTTTATCGACCTGTAGCCCATCTGTCTCATTTACTGACCCATAACCCATCTGTCTGATTTACTGACCCGTAATCCCTCTGTCTGTTTTACTGGTCTGTAGCCCCTCTATCTGTTTTACTGACCCATAACCCCTCCGCCTGTTTTACCGACCTGTAACCCTTCTGCCTGCTTTACCGACCTGTAACCCCCCCCCCCGTCTGTTTTACCGACATGTGTCCCCTCTGCCTGTTTTACCGACTTGTCTTTCAGCCACGCTTTACGTCATTTGAAATATGTCGTACACATTCTTTAGAGACCACCATTATCCCACGCAATTCGCTTTTCTAGTCCTTTTGAGTCCGTTTTCTATTCACAGGCCGTGACTCGTGATCTGGCTATTATACATCACATGTCCGCTGCGCTCTTGTTACGGCTGGAATGCTTCGGCACACTTTCACGCGTGTCCTTACTTAACATGCGGCAGTGCTCGGCGGTTGAATACGAAATGATGTAATTCCAGGGACCAGCGCGTCATCCGCAGAATCCAGCGTGGCAGTTCCTAAGGGCGATCCAGTGTAATGGTTACCACTCTAAATTCAGTTCTTATCTTTTGGGCGTATGCAAAGAGGCGCCCTGCTGATGGTGTAGCGTGCCGGCTGCAGCCAGCAGACTTCCGCAGGACTGACATATCGCATAACTCCACATGCAGCTGTGTGCATATGGCATGAACTCGGTTGGAGCGGATTGGCAGGGCATATCGCGCATGGTAACCGGACAGCCGGAAGTGCTCCGATGTCCCAGTTTTGTTTCATAACAGACCCACATGCTGTAACTCCCTCTGTAACAGGTCGTACCGGTTCGGCAGAGTGAATGCCGTTTGCCTGTACGTGATTTATGGATGGCCTGTTATCCCAACATGTTGCGTGAACCTAAACCGACACGAATGCGAAGCAGTGTTTAACGGTGCAGTCGACATCACGTCACGAACTGCGACGCCGATGGTGGCGGGGCCGATCTGGCCCCCGGCCTGACGCCGGGCTTGAACCCAAACCAGCGCTCCAAGCTAACGCGCCCCCAGCCGAACAACTCTGCCCCCCCCCCCCCCCCCCACTTCCCCAGATGAGTGTGGTCTGGTTAAGATACACCGTGCCCTCACTGTCGCGGCGGTCGGCGTGTGCCTGACGCCAGCTCTGGCCGCAGGTTCTGCGAACGCTCTCCGTCCTGTCGCGCTCGCCCAAGGCCCTGGCCCGCGGCATCCCGTAAGTGGCTGCGCTCCGCCTGCGCGGCTGGCGCGGAGCGGACTGAAATCAATGAAGTGGCAATAGGCGAACCAATTCTAACCGGCGGCGACATTTTTCGAACCTTGTGTGACGCCTTTTTCCGAGCATTGTAAACAAAGACGACCGGTCGGTGCGTAGGTAGACTGAAGTAAGACGTCCTTGACGTCTTGTGCCAGCCGATGTATCATGCAGAGAATGTACACGTGTGCCATAGTCCTGCAGTGTGGGCGTATCACGCCATCCTCGTGGGGTTTTTCCCTGTAACGCGGCTGTGGTGCTGACTGCTGGCGGGTACTCTGGTAACGCGGCCGGCGCGGGGCGGCTGTTCTCAGGGGGTTCCCGGCGGACGCGGACCAGTCGGCGTTCGAGGAGCCCATCTACCGCCACCTGGACGAGGAGGCCAAGTGAGTGCTTACGCCGCGGTCGCTGCCGTCTTACGCAGGGGTCGGCGCCGCTCCGGCCGTGTGGGCTGGAGCTGCTGTGCTCGACCGGCCGCACCCGTCTGGTCCTGGTCCGTCCCGTCTAACTGTGTTGTGTTCTCTCCTGCGCAGTCACGTGCTGCCATGCCCGACCCCGTCCTGTGGGTCCCGTCCTGCCTGTCCTGTTCCGCCACGTTTTGTCGGCTCATGTCCGGTAAGTGGCAGCGGTCCCGACCTGTGTGAGCAGTGGTCTGGTATCAACCGGCCCTGACGCCCAGCCTGATGTTGTGCGGCGGCTCCGGCCGGCACTGGCGTCGCGGCCGCGCGACTCGCCCTCGGCCCCTCCAATAAAACAAAGTACGATATAATGCACTGCGACAGAAATATTCAGGCATGAAACACGAATGTAAACCAGGCTTATTGAGTACCTACGAGACAGCTTCCCTTGCGATTAACCGGAATTAGTCTTGGAATGTCATTTATCATTGTCAAACGTTTGTCAAAAGACGCTTGCTGGGGACAGTCCGCAGAGATGTGTGCCACGAAGGCAGCAATGCAGCACAACATCTGAGTGGTAATCCATGACCATTGCGGTAGGAGTAGTCATGCTTCTTACGAGTCATGGTCAGTGGTCGTTTGCCACCGGTTCAGGTGCTACTTTCTACCAGTTGTGGCAAGCGCACCACACGTTTTGATCATGGTGTAGCATCAATGTCATATGCCTTGTCTTTCGGCTGAATAAGAAAATGTAATTACAGCACGACGACATATTAGATACGCATATGACTAGCATGGCCTTCTGAGTTTGTGCCATTTTATGCCGGCTTTAACCGTTTGCAATCGGTAAAAGCTAGAAATTGGCGGGAACTGGTGTCAGCCGGCTGAAATTCCAGCCCTGCTCCCCCGCGGTCTTTGCTCGGGGCGAGACGGCCTTCAGTCTGGGTCATGTGAACCCTCCGCGTGGTGGCCGCCTCCTGCTCACTGTGCCGGCATGGGATTGCAGTGTGGAGGACCGCATCCTCTCCGATCGGCTCCGCAGCCATCTCATTCGGAGCCGGTCCAATGACAAAATGGAGGAGAACATTTACGAGGACCTCTGCTATGTATCGCTCAAAGACAAGGTAGACTGCACGCGATACCCCTCGGCCAGGGCCTTGACGTGGCGCCTGCGTGTGCAGTGACACCGACCGCAAGGCATGTTTGGGTGGTGCGTAGCGCTTCCTAAGTGGATGACCGCGTTCGCCCCGTTGCGTCGTAGACGGCAGCGCGGCAAGTGCACGCTGCTGGCGCATAGCAGACTGCATTGCGCCCCGGTAGCGCTAGCTCTGAGCATGACCGTGGCAGGCCGAGCGCGGAGCGCCGGCCGGGCAGCAGAGGCCACGTGACCAGTGGACGGCGCGGTGCCGGCGGGTGGGCGCCCGCCGCCGGGGTCGGCCCTCAGCCCGCGCCGAGCCCGGGCTGGTGCGGGGCCGCCTCAGACGTGCTCTCGCCGCTGGAGCCCGGACCACACCCCACAGTGAAGTGGCGGTCCGGCGGCGGCTGCCGGTCTGGCGACCTGGCGACCGGCCGCTGGCCGGGCCGTGGTCCAAGCGCTGGTCCGGGCTCTGGTCCGGGCTCTGGTGCGGACTCTGGTCCAGGCTCTGCTCCAGACTGGTCCGGGGGCTGGTCCAGACTCTGGTCCAGGCTCTGCTCCAGACTCTGGTCCGGGCTCTGATCCGGGCTCTGGTGCGGACTCTGGTCCAGGCTCTGCTCCAGACTGGTCCGGGGGCTGGTCCAGACTCTGGTCCGGGCTCTGGTCCAGGCTCTGCTCCAGACTCTTGTCCGGGCTCTGGTCCGGGGGTGATCCCGTCTCCAGTCCAGGCTCTGGTCCGGGCGTGGCCCCGTCTCCGTTCCGGGCTCCAGTCCGGACATGGTCCCCGGTCCGGCGACTGGAGCGGGGTGGTCATCCGGAGCTCTGGCCGGTGAAGCGAGACGCACCACCCGAGGTCTGGAGCCACCCTAGCACTACCAGACCGTGTCGCGTTCATTCCGACGCTGCCGCTGAAAACGGGGCTCCATCCCGCTGCACCCTTTGGATCGACGTTTCACGTTCGTATGGCTGGGGTGCAATCACCCATCACCGGGGCTTCCTTACGGGCCGTTATCCCCATTCACCTCGACTTGCGACTGACTTCAAGCCATTGAGCAGTTGCGGGACATTTGGCTCGTCCTTCGCGGAGCCAGAACATGCAGCTGCTTTAGCACATATGCGACGATTCCAATGACGGACGGGTGTCTGAGGCGTGCATTTTGGCTTCTTTTAATGATATGTTCAGTTAAGTTGTAGCATAGCAGCTGTTCGCACGCTCCCTTTGATATTTTTCTTAAGTTGGGGTCGTATTAACCCCTCTGTACATACGTCACACGACCGCACGGGCAGCAGGTGAGTAGCATTCTTTGCATAGACGTGGCCTTCACAATGCTTTAGCCGTAACGTCAAACGGGGTGTAGTAGTGCTTGCGGGGCGGCCGGCTGCCGCGGCCGCCCGATCGGACCGCCCCCCACTCATAGCATCCGTGTCGGCCGCTGCCCGCCGCGAATGATCGTGTTCGGTGTGGCCGACTGGGCTGCGGCACCGCTCCTGGCACGTGCTGCGCATGCGCGCGCGGACGTTGAGCGCGACCGTCTGTGCATGCAGCGAAGACGCGTACGTCAGCATCAGCCCCAACTACTCGGCGCTCACGTCGCACCAGGAGGAGATCTACGAGGAGCTGACCGGCTTCCAGAGCGATCCGCAGGTAACGCGGCCGACGCGCGCGCATGTGTGCTGGACGGACGCCGCCCGCGGACAAGCTGGCAGTGGGTGTGGAGTGCGTCGCGTGTGGTTTTTGACCGCGATGAGGCGCGTGTAAGCGCATGTCGCGGAAACGGAATTTGACGTGCTTGACTTGGTGAAAATTTACGTACGCACCCGAAGTCAACTCCGTAGATAGAAACACATTAAGACTGGATTACCACTGGCTTACCGCGACCGAACCGCGGATCAGTACCAGCGTCACACACCATTTTGGCACTTGTTTTGAGTGTCACAGGGCTATCTGACAAGCAAGAACAACGTTTAAGGTGTTGTGCGTCTGATCAAATTCGTTGCTCGTGGTTCGTAGCCAGTCCCCAGAACAGTAGATGAACCCCGCGACCGGCGTTTCGTTTCACTTCGTGACTGGGCACACACGTCCGCCGGCCCGCCGGGGGCGCGCGTGAGTGGACGCTGACCCGGCCTACCTGCGCGCCGCCGCCGCAGCCGGCCACGGCCAAGGCGCCGCTCGAGAAACGCGACTACTGCCTGAACGAGCTGCTCGAGACCGAGGCCAACTACGTGTCGGTGCTGGAGATGCTGCGCGAGAAGTTCATGGAGCCGCTGCGGCCGCTGCTGGGTCCCGAGTACACGGTCACCATCTTCCAGGGCATCCAGGTGAGGGGCGGGCGGGCTGGGCCGCGCGGCGCATCAGGGACATGGGGCAGCACATGCTGGTGTCGGATTAGTACAACCCGTCACCACATGAGCAGGTCACTGCCGGCAATCACGCTTTCCATTTTGGTGCTTAGTAAATGATGTCGTGTTTTTTTCAAGCCGCATTTGTCTTGTATTTCAGTTAAAGAGAATGTTGTACATTGAAAGATATTGAAGCAAGCGTCAGATGTGATGAAATAAAGTAAGCAGAATTTTCTGGTTAGTAAATATGCTTCTCAATACATCATTGTTTGATTATGTCGTCGTACTGTGCACAACATTGACTGAGAGCCAATTGACGGCCGTTGTATCTGGAAATCGTGCTCACGAATACAAGATATTAACGACTTGGCAGTTATATTTTTGTTCACCTTGATTGCAACATGGCTAAGGGAATGGCAGGACTTAAATGACGTTATTATGGCGTCGTGGATACCTGGGTGACCCTGAAGTAGTCTCCCCGAAATAGTCTGCACATATTCGCGGGTGGGTAGCTCAGAAACTAGAGAGGTTTAGAGAAAGGCATGGCTCTTAGTTTAAAACTCCGTGCAAATGTGGAACATTGCCGTAAGCAAGCACTTAAGGGGGGGGAGGGTCAATTTGGCTCCCGAATGTTTTTACAGAACAATTTCGGAAGGGCGGGGCGCGGCCACGCTAAAGTTAGCGTGGCTGTAGGTAATTGGATTACAAATATTTTGGTATACAAAATTTAATTTACCTCGTAAGCTCGCTGACCTGTGGCAGGTCAGTCAGGCCGTGGCTGCCAGCGAAGGTGATATCAAGGGAATCGTTCGATCTGATGCGACAGCGGAGTGTTAGACAAAGCAACACACCTCTGAATCAAGGGAATCGTTCGATCTGATGCGACAGCGGAGTGTTAGACAAAGCAACACACCTCTGAGGTAGTTTCTTAAGCAACAAAACAAGTAAATTGAGGCTTATAACAAATTCCACTGACCTAGGTTCAGGCATGAAGGTCAGACTAGGGACAAAATTGACCTACTTTTTTGCTCGTGATTCTGCTGCACGTGATAGTTTCTAGTGCTCATTTCGAATTCACCGATATCAGGGACCGCAACTGGCGTCTCTCATGGACTTCCTAAATGTCGGAGTAGGTCACTGACCTTTGATGACCCAGGCCATCATTTTGTTTTAGGGACACGCCTTAATACTTATTCATCATTAATACTTATTGAAATGCAAAATCAAAACTCGTCGGATTTTGGCCACCATGACTTTCTAAACGTCAAAGGTCACTGGCCTTAAAGCGGCCTTTTCCTAAGAACAAATATTGATGGTTAAGGCTGCTGCATGAGGTCTGTTGGCGCTTTGGACACCAATCTGGAGTTTAACCTCGTTTGACCATGTTTGACCCGAGGGTCACGATCGAGGAACCTCAAATTGTGACATAGGGAGTTCACACACAGGCGAACCAAACTTGTGAATTTGGTATCTCTAGCTCTCCCAATTTTGAGATCTCAGCGGGTCAAATTGCCCCTCCCCCCAGCCCGAGCGAAGAGTGTTCAGCCAGCCACCCGGGCGTGTGTCGACAGGCAACATTAAGACCTTTGTAAGCGGTCTTCCTTCTTTGAGAGCCCGCTGACAATCGGACCGCCGCTATTTTTCCGCCGCTCAGACCGCCGTATTCGGACCGGCCAAACAATGGCGGGTCGGCAGGTCCGGCTGGCCGCATTACTTGAAAAAAGATCCGATCACTAGCGGGAAATTACTTCTGCCCCATAGCCTGTAATGCAATGTTCTATCTGGGTCGGGACGGAGCCTATTCTGATGAACGGCCTGCATCCACCACTGGGGTCGCTCCCACTGTCTGCCTACGGGGCATACGGCCGGCTGGGCTGACTGGCCGGGGTCAGGGTCGCAACGGTCCCGTCGGCACACGGGGCCAAGGCCGGTGCTAATGCCATACCCGAACACCTTTTAAGCACGTGATAAAGCTTGAAAGTTTATGTAAGCAAAGGCAGAAAACGGATGGTGCGGTACCGACCGCAGTCCCTATGTTGGACGGCCAGCCGGATGGCGGTGCCGCCATTCCCGGGTTGCGCAGTATCGCACCGCCCGCCCCTGGTGCTGGACCGTCAGCTCCAGCACCAGGGGCGGCGTGTGAACCCTCCCGCCTGCGCAGGGCCTGGAGGATCTTCACAAGCGGTTCCACCGGGAGCTGCGCGAGGCGTGCCGGCCGGACTCCACCACGCGCATATCCAACGTGTTCATCAGCAACAAGGCCCGCTTCCTGATATACGGCGAGTACTGCTCCAACCTGCAGCCGGCGCAGGAGCTGATCGACGAGCTCTGCGAGAAGGACGACGCGCTCAGCCAGAAGGTGGCGGTGAGTCAAACGATGGCGCCTGCTGGGGGAGTAGAGTCAACTGGTGGCGCTCAATAGGAGTGGGGCTGAGGCAAGGAGAAGCGCCCGGCGAGGGTGCCGGTGAGTCAGAGGGTGACGCTCAGCAGGACTGGTGGTGAGTCGACTGGTGGCCTTGAGCGGGGTGGCGGTGAGTCAAAGGGTGGCGCTCCGCGAGGGTGGCGGTGATGAAAGGGTGGTGTTTAGGGGAGGAGGAGAGGTAGATCGATGGACAGGTGGACTGGGGAGAGCGAGGCTTGGAGGTGCGCGATTGGACCAAATCTGACGGGGAGCGTTCAAGGTGTGGACATGGCGGGGTTGCGGGGGTTGTCTCACCCATAGGTCACTGTCACGCCCGTGCGGTGGCGTGGGACTGGGAGCCCCTGCTGCTGTAGGGAATCACCAATCACCACTCACTGTAGCGAATCACCACGTCTAGGTCGCCACACTTAGAACCACGATCGGAGAAGGGCGCTAGCACTGCACGACTGACCATCGCACGGACGCCGCGGCTGAACGTGTTCCAGTTTTCAATGTTTCCACTCGGATCGGTCAGGCCCTGCGTCTTCAGACAGCTGACGTGCACTGAACTCACAGACGCCGCGTTTGTCTCTCCGACCGCTGCCGATAAACCCGGCTAGAAGTTGTGACGTTCAGCTGGTGACCTTGACAGCCTGGCGTGTTGATAAGCAGCCGGATGATGACGCCGTGTTGCAGCGGATAACCGGATGATCCAATGCGTGTTACAGCGGTGCCAAATGGAGGCGAACGGAGGCAAGTTTAAGCTGCGCGATCTGCTCTCCGTCCCCATGCAGCGGATTCTGAAGTACGAGATTCTGCTCAGAGAGTTGCTCAAGTACACCGTGAAGGTACGCGGGCGCGGCGGCTGTTGTGGCTCGCGCGAGCCGGTCGCCCGGCCCGGCGACGGTGAGGTGCGCCGCTTAGTCCCCGGCGTGACTGGGCTGGCGGAGTTCTGTGGAGCGTGCAGCGGCGGTCGTGTGCCGCTGTGACCGGGTGCAACGCGCGGGTTCCCGGCGTGACTGGGCTGGCGGAGTTGTGTGGAGCGTGCAGCGGCGGTCTTGTGCCGCTGTGACCGGGTGCACCGCGCGGGTTCCCGGGCGTGACTGGTCTGGTAGAGTTCTGTGGAGCGTGCAGCGGCGGTCTTGTGCTGTTGTGACCGGGTGCACCGTGCTGGTTCCCCGGCCGCTGTACGTCCGGCTGCAGTCGGCGCGTTGGTCAGAATCGGGCGCACATCGCTCGTTGCTGGACTGGGCTCTGTCGGTGTGTTAGCCGCTGGCGGAGGCGGGTCGGGATGTCTGGGGTGGGCTGTGCCCCGATCTCTGGCCTTCGGTTCCCCGTCCGGCGTTCGCCTGTGCGCTATCTGTCGCCGTCTTCTCTTTGCTGTTGTGTCCGCCTCTGTGTTTCTCCACTTCAATGTAAGCAATGGGGTTGATTATAATTGCAGAGCAGGTGATGTCCGAGAACCAGAAAGTGGTCCCCAGTCCATAGCCGACGGCTTTGTGCGGTCCGACAGCGTCGGGGTCTGTCCGGTCTTGCGGAACCTGCACTGTTTGATGGTGACGGCTTCGCTCTCAATCCACTGGCATCTGGCGTAGCTTCCCTAAATCCACGATGTAGTTGCACGCCACATACCCTTGCATTCTCCAGTCCGTTCAGAATAGTGGTCGCACAGTCCTGTTCTATCGGTTGCCCCACATCAGGACGCCCTCACCAGCTGTCCCACTCTATTACTGGCCATGGCGCGGGCAGCGCTGGACCCGTATCGTGGGTAGCGCTGAAGCCTGCCAGTCTGCGCCCACAGATCCTCCCGGGTCGGACCGCCCCCGTCAGTCCTCAGCCGTTAGTTCGCTCCGCAGTCATGCTCCGTCAGTTCTGCCCTGTCAGTCCCCCTCTGCCAGTCCTCTCCCCGAAGTCCGCTCCCCGAAGTTCTCCCCCGAAGTCTTCTGCCTCCCCCGTAGTCCTTCCCTGTCAGTCAGGTAGCGTCAATCCTCCATTAGTCCTTGCATTGATTCCTCCCCACCAGTCCTCCAATGTCATTCGGACAGTGTTAGTGCTCTCTCTCTCTCTCTTTCGTCCACCGCCCCCCCCCCCCCCCCCCATCAGTCCGCCCGCCAGTCTTGCCATGTGAGCTGCCCAGCGTCAGTCCTCGATCAGGCCTCCTGCGTCAGTCCTCCTCTGTCAGACCCCTCGTCAGTCCTCCGTCAGTGCGCCCCGTCTGTCTGCCGGTCGCCGCCGCCGGCGGTGTCCGTGTGCCGCCGGTCGGTGCCTCCGTCCGGCCGCTGACCGCCCCTCCGCTCCGCCAGTCGACGCAGTACAGCGACGACCACGGCGGGCTGGAGCGCGCCCTGGCCGCCATGCGGGACGTGGCCGAGTTTATCAACGAAGTAAAGCGCGACAACGAGACTCTCCAGATCATGCACGACATCGAGGTAGGTCGGCCGCGCGCCCCACAACCGGCGGGGTTGATCCACGGCATGCTCGCGTCACGCGGTGGCGCGCTGACGTGTTTGAGCCCGTGTGCGTTTGTGCGTGCTTTGCATGCACATGTGCGTATATGACGTATGCCAGTGTCCGCGCGTTTGTTCGCTTCTCATGCTGGCCATGGTTCTCCCAACGTGTCTCCGAACGGAATCGCATGTTTGTCTGGAACGAACGACAGGCGCTTCGCAGCACAATTCAAGGCGGTAGACTCACGCATGCGCCATGCACTGTCGGGTAGCTGTGTAGGCTGGGTCACGTGACGACCCCGGCTGTGGGTATGGCTGCGTGGGCCTGGTCACGTGCCGACTGGCCGTAGGATGTGGTTGTGTGGGTCGGGTCACGTGACGTCTCCGGCCGTGCGGGCGGCTGCGTGGGCCTGGTGCCGTGACGTGCCTGTGGCCGGCAGAGCTCTATCACCGACTGGCCGCTGGAGGAGGGCCCGTTCCGCTCAGCCAAGGACTGCGGCCGCCTGCTCAAGGACGGAGAGATCAAGGTCAAGTGCCACCCCGAGAACAAGATCAAGCTCAGGTGAGCTGTGCCGCACCACTGGGCCCTGCCAGCGCTCTATCCTGGCAGGGTACCCGACCGCTCTCTGGTGACGTGTGCAGTCATTCTCTTGACATTGTCTCTTTGAATGCTCACACTGCGTATTTCGCACATTGATGGGTGTCAATAGATATTTGTGTCGTAAGTTGTCATATAGCCGTGTTCATCCTGCGGTTAAAAGATCGTTGCGGAACTTAGTTTAAACTCTGTGATTTTTCCAGATCGGTTCTTTTAGATGCCGTATGCTGCGAAAGGTGCAACTTTTTTTCTGCTTTTTCAGATATGTGTTCATTTTCGATGAAATATTATTGATGTGCAAGTCAACCAGGGTAAGTCTTTGTACACTGGTATTGCACGCTCTTTAATCCGCGGGCCTGGTAGCTGGTTTTATGGACTTCGATCCATTTGGAGCTGGATTCAGCACGGCCATGGTTTCGGTCATTGCTTGGATCTTCAGCGAACGTCCTTCACCATGTTTTTGCATGGATGCATGCAATATGTGCCACGTGTAACGAGCTCGTCGCATGCTGAATCCCGCGTCGACAAAGCGCTTCATTGTAATTCAAAGCGTGATCCCTCCTTTGGCACTCTCCTATTACTGGTCTCATTGTCTTGCGTTGTATCTCGTTCTAGCTGAGACCACAAAAATGCCGTCTGCTATTGACAACTAACATCTCTCTCACACTGGGCTCTAGTGCTCGCCGTCGCCCATGTTTCGTAAAGCTGTACCGAATTCTCACCGCAGGCATGCTGGGCTCGAGCGACCTGCTCCGTCGCTGCAAAATCGGCCGCCTTTTCGGCCCAGCTGTGCCTCACTTCTTCGCGTAATTGGCGAACGATATGCTTGAGTTGAGACGAATGCCACCGAAAGACGTGGTTATATGCAGCACACCACGACAGTTGCTAATGACGTTGTGTCCTGAAATGTTCATATTTTCTCCTTTCCTTCCGCATATTAGAGGGAGTGTCCACTCTTGGGGCAGATTTCAGGAAACATACTCCAATGAAACCTCAGGACTAGTTACGTTCATAATATCGTTGGGTAGTGCCATTACAGCACCGTCAAGACATAATAAAGATGTCAATTTTAATCATTTTCGAGTCCAAACTACGCTGTCCACGCTTTGTAACAACATTACCCAGTGCTACTACGCCTCTTCCCTGTAGCCGCGACCACCGCCGTTAAAACAACGACCGTGCAATTAAAATAATGCGATTGCTAGCGGGCAATCACACACAGGGCCTGTCGCCGACAAACTGGTTGGTTGAAGTTTGAACCAGAACGCCGCATGGATCATGTGTTACACCCATTTCCAAAGCTAAAGTGCGTCACGAAAAAAGCCACTGGTAAACGTCATAAGAAAGAAATCAAAGTCATCGTTTTGCGTTGCGTTGAGTTTGCGGGATAATAGCGTCACGTTCGCTTATCTCTTTGTCCAAATGGAGTGTTTCAAGCTTTCGTGGCATTTATTACACAATAATTTTGGTACATTAGTGTATTACAAACATTACCGAACACACACGTTGGAAAAAGCAAGGCAAATCGAATGTATTGCTATCTTAGTGGCGGGCGAGAAGTCCAGGGCTGTTTCCACATGCTTCGCTGGCGTGCTGTTGAGTAGGGTGACCAAGCGCATGAGTCCTGCCATAATATGGCAGGGCCGTCTGCGGTCTCTGACACGTCATCGCATGTTAGTCCGTGGGTAGCGGCGACACTAGCGAATTACGCGGGGAAAGGACGGCAATGACGTGTATTTCACATCTATTTCACTTACAATTTGGATATGCATACATATTGAAGTGGAGCGCGGAAGGCTGGGAGGCCCGGTAGGCTTCAGTCGCTCATTCTGAAAGATGGTGCGTTGATCTCAGCTATTAATGCGCGTCCTAAGGGGTCTGACAGAATGGTTGTAGTTGTAATTACTGAAGAAAATCGGCATTTTTCCTTCGTCTTGCAAACTACACCTAGTAGAGCGTTTTAAAGTAATCATTTAATGCACTATCGCTGTGAGTTAAATGGTGTATGTTTAATGTACGGCCGTATGCACCGTACGTAGCGGATTTCCCTGGTGTAGGGCCTTGAACTTCGTGGTCCCGATCATGTATTTAAAGCAAGAACACGGATTTTTTTGTTCGTTGAGAAATGTAACCAGTTGGAAAGTCTTCCAGTCTCTATTTCTGCAGCGAACACCCTTCGTTCTATGGAACAAAAGTATTTTGGGTGCAGATTCACTGCAGCAATCTTGGCGCAGACAAACCTCAATAGCCTCCGGGTGGCCGCGAGTCTGACGACAAAAATCAACAACCAGTAGTGGCGTGTCCCGCAGTTGAACACCGTTCTTGCTTTTCACACATCTGCCGTGACACTGCGACGTCAAAGTCGCTATGACCGGCGTTTCGCAGTCGGGCCGTAAACGAAAATTAAAGGGTAAATTTGGGGGTGAAATAGCACTCATCTCACGGACACGTTGTGCTCTGGTCTTGAAAAATTGTAGCATTGAATTGTGTTGTATCTTCGAAGGCCACAGGCAGTCAAGTTGTTTCAATTTGTGACACGGTCCGTTTGAACCGTGTCACAAATGGTCAAAAACCACGCGTTGTGCTTTCAGCATTTCAAATGTGGAACATGGTAAGAAATTGCATGCAATGCAACCTTAATGGGTTTGGGAATAGGGGCGAACAAGGGCCCATGTCTTCACATTTTTTTTAATGCTTGACATTAACCCTTTGTCGAGGCCTGGAAAAAAGTCGACAAAAGGTAATTGGCCTCCCCATTGTCTGACCTTTTCGCGGCTGTGGCAATGACGGCGCGGCTTTATCTCCGCACGGCATGAGGAACAGGGTGGCGCGACAAATGAACCCGCTCTGTTGACTGTGGGACCACTTCTGCTGTTTGCTGATCTATTGTACGTGGCCTCCCATTGGCGACTCGTCCAACGACGCGTATCTTGTGTAAGCACGTGGCCACGCCATTTTCAGACGCTCTCCGCCAACATCAAACGGTGGAGCTATGGGAAGGAGGCCGGTGATGTGTTTGTGAGTAGGAGGTGGTATGTGATGACAATGCTCTCTGTGTTGTGGCGTCCGTGCTGCGGTTCCCGCACGTGCGCGTGCCTTTTTAACGTCCGCTCCGTGGCTGTCGGGAGATGTGAGAGCCCTTATGACGTGGGCTGCAGGGCTCTGTGGTGGTACGCGTGCCCTTGTGACATCTTCTCCGTGGCTGCTGGGGACGTGAGTGTCCGCGTGACACGTGCGCGTCTGTTGCAGGGTGTGGTCAGTGCTAGCCAATGCTCTGCAGTTGTCTGGAGATGAGAGCGTCCCCGTGACATCCGCCTCATGGTTGCCGGTGGTCCGAGTGTGACCCCTGCTTCATGGTTGCGTGGAGGCGTGAGTGTCCGCGCGATGTCCGTTCCGTGGCCGTCTGCTGGTGCGGCCGTCCTTGTGACCTCTGCTTCATGGTTGCGTGGAGGCGTGAGTGTCCTTGTGACGTCCGTTCCGTTGTCTTCTGCTGGTGCGGCCGTCCTTGTGACCCCTGCTTTACGGTTGCGTGGAGGCGTGAGTGTCCGCGCGATGTCCGTTCCGTTGTCGCCTGCTGGTGCGGCCGTCCTTGTGACCTCTGCTTCATGGTTGCGTGGAGGCGTGAGTGTCCTGCGCGATGTCCACCCCGCGGCCCTTCTGGTGGTGTAAATGTCCTTCTCGATGTTGCGCGGCGTAACAGATGGTTCTTACATTACTCTCACTTGCGCTGTTGCTGGGCACTACGGGTACGCAATGTGAACACCACCGCGGCGTCGGCGATTGAAGTGGAGGGTTGGGGAGGGGGCGGGGATGTGCCTCACGACCAAGGCTGGGACAGTCTTGTCCCCATCCGTCTTGGCGATTATTTCGGATCAGGAGAACGATTCCAGCGGTCTCATTTTTTGGCCCGATACAATGGCTGCGACCGATCCTACGCCAATTGGCTGAAGAGTTTGAGAAAGAAAATGTGCCCGAGCTGGGGTCGAGCATAACCCCCTTGGCCCGGTGCGTCATAGTTGTCTCTGACCACAGTTTCTCTGAGCAAATTGACTGCTTTCAAGGCGCTGGCACGCGTGATGCATGACAACACGCATCGCATTTTGTTCGTCATGGCCTGTCCCGCGACATTGCACGTAATTGCCTGTGAAAAGGAAACCATCCCCGTAGCTCAGTCGTTATAGCGCTGGCCACCTGGCCACCAAGGTGGTGAACTGTATGGATCTGCGTCCCAGAAACCGCGCTCGATCACCTGGCTCGCCAGACACGACCGATCGACAGCTGGTCTTAAGCGGGTCAGGCTGCCACGGCCTGCCACGTCATGGCGTTGCATGGCGCGCCACAATCCGCCGGCCACAGTTATCCGTTACGCTGCAATTGTGCTTCTAAAACAATGGGGTTAGGATCTTCGCAACAGGCTGTGTTAGTGAGGTTTCTGATTCCAAGGCCAGCACTGAAAAACAAAAAGCGAGCAGTGTGTAATGAACGGGAAGAGACGTGGTCTCGGGTCAGTGTGATCTCGGGGCGTGGCATTTTGCGCTTGCTTGGCTTTCTATGTTATGTGCTTCCGACTTGTTAATGATGAATCATTGCTTGCTCACGGTGGAATGCCGAGGCGTTCCGTGCAAGACAGTGAAAAAGCCGGAGCCTACGTAAGAAAACACATGTATTTATAAATTAACCGAAGATATGAGCGCATGCTCTGCCGGGGCATCTGACTTGATCTGACTGACTGTCCGTTGATGTCACTTGGACTTGATTTCCGGGCTTGATCGCTGCCATGCCGAGCTTGGTTATTGAACCAACTTGCTGAGCTTCCGACCGTTGGTCAGGCGTACGTGCTATATATGGGTAGCATTTCGTGTTGTGATGCGCTGGTTTCTCCTTCTGCACTCCCGCTTCGTGATTCTGTCAGATGTCATTTGTCTGCAGTTGCATCAGTGTACATCTCAATGTTAGCTGACGCAGCTGACGTTGAGCTGTCAGCCGTGTGTAGTGAACGGTCTTCCACGGACGTGTCTTCATTCGTCTCTTGTTCAGGTTGACCACTACAGCTTCATTGTAACTATGCTGACATGCAGCTCTAACCTACGCTGCCAAATTAACGATCACGTGGTTTTGCAAAGGATATCTGCTCCCGTGTTGTGTGTGTGGCCCCTGGAAGTCAGTGCAGTCGTAGAACAATAGTGGTGTCTGCGACGTCGCCTCACCGTCATCCGTTTTCCCCGGCCGCGTCAGATTGTGGAGAAGATGTTCTGGGTAAGCGGACGGGCCGCGCTGCCGGCGCTGCTGCTGGGACCGATCGCGGAACACTGCTCCGTTCCGTTTAATGAGCCGCCTTGTGTGTGCCATCGGGGGCTGGGGCGGCTGTGAGCGGCGAGAGTCCGGTCGGGACGGCGGCGAGCGGGAGCCTGTCCGATCCCTGACCAGTCGCCGGAAGAGGCGTGGCGTATGCCCTTCTGGACGCGATTTGGCTCGAGACGTTCCCTCAACTCGCGGCGGCACCTGGCCAAGACTGGTCGCCCTTTCGCCCCGTGATCCCTTGTTTTTAGATATACACCCAGTGCGCACTTAATGAGCTATGCCGTGCTATATCTTCATATGTAATATATCTTCACTGCCTGCCCTTCACCATGCCACCAGTTACCTTTCGGCCATCTGCACCCGTACGCCGTCCGGCCGTCTGACCCACGCCGCTCCGTGACCTCCGCGTGGTCGCGGAGTCGCCGGCCACCCTGACGGCGACCGGTGGTGTTGCGCGTCCTCAGGGCGAACAGTACTGCTACAAAGACTGGCTGCGGATCTGCGAGTTTGACCTGGAGGATCGGCGCAAGTCGCAGAGGACGGACGCCCGCTGGTCCCACATGTGGCACTTGGTGCACAAGCGCAAGAAGACCGTCTACACGCTGTACGCCAAGACGGAGGAGACGAAGCGCAACTGGATCAAGGCGCTGGAGGAGGCTCGGTGAGCGGCGCGGGGATGGCGCTGGCCTGACCGCCTCGCTGACCTGACTCGGTGGCCTGACCCCCACCTGAGTAAGCCTGATCGAGGCCCGGCTTGGTGCTGGTATCTGCCTCCTCAGCGTGCTATCCGGCTGAGTACCAGGCTGAGCGGGAGGTCGCTGAGGCCGGAGGCCAATTAGGCAGCAGGCCACGCAATGGTCCCAAAAAGGCTGGCGCCTTGTCAGTCCGTGGCGTATGTTCACATTGTGATGACCCAGTCGCCGTGAGACTGTTTTCACGTGCACCGGCCATCCTGGCATGGACGACTGCGAGCCGATGACGAGGCGGTTGTTCTCGGAGATGGTCGGACCGCCCGACCGTTGGGCGTCGCCGAGAACTGACCCTTGTGGGGTTTCGTCGGTGCAGGGAGCACGTGGACCCGAGCGAGAACAAGTACACGGACCACGTGTTCGCACTGGCCACCTTCAGTCGACCCGAGGAGTGTGACACCTGCCTCAAACTGCTCAAGGGCAAGTTCTTACAGGTGAGTTCGACTTTGGGTATGTAGCCCGCGCCCGAAGGGAATATTCTTACACCCTCTCCAAATAGTACTGGGGCAAAAATGCTGAACAGGTATTAGAAGATTATGAAGTCAATGACAAGAAAAATTACGTCATCAGAGTTTGGTAAGTTATGTAAGGAAAATATGAGCCTCTCAGTCCCCTCCCCCTCCCCCTCAAGTCCGGTATCGGGCGGCGGCCCGTCGGTGTACAATGTCAGCTCGTTGAGTGCGTGCGGCAGCGTGGTTTGGTCTAGCTCTCCATCACCCGTTCTCAATGGGCTGAGACGGACCCAGCATACATTTCGTATATGACTAGCTTGCAGTCCAAACAAGCCTTATCTAGACCACTATCGGCTATCGGCTATCTAGACCACAAAAATTGTCTTTCGACTTTTCAGGTGTATTCAATAAAATCGTATCTTGCGAAATGATCTTCTGTTGCTTACCTACAATTATTTCCACAAACGACTCAGCAGCACGTCTTGTCCCCTCCTTTCGGCTATCTGCACCAGATCGAAGTGCAGGGTCTCTCCATCTTCAGCAGATCCCATTCAGTAGCCAGTACCTGCGGGAATTCGTCATGTAGTCCTGATGCGTCCACATGCACCAGGTTCCTCAGCTGGCTGCAGTGTTGAGAGTTGCGCTAAGCAGGCACGTGTAAGTATAAGTCCTTTCATGAAGTGAAGACCAGCCTGTAAGAAACGCAGGATACAATTCCTTTGGCGGAGACAAGGGGGGGGGGGAGGTCAGCTGATGATATACTATAATAGTGGGCTCATTGGCTCGTCGTTCGCCGCCCGCGCCGCCTTAGAGTCAGGGTCACAGAAGTGGTGAGCTTCGCGTCCCGAACGGGATTGGGGTCGCGCAACCTCCGCCGCCTGACCCAGTGGCATCACCTGCCTGTGTCCCGCCGCGTGCGTCCGCGGCCGCGCCGGCTGACCTGGAGCGGGGCGCCGCCGTTGCAGGGCTACCGCTGCGGCCAGTGCGAGCGGAAGGCGCACAAACACTGCATCCGCGCCAGCGGCATGTGCGGCGCGCGCCAGCCGCCCAGCCTGCCGCCGCGGCCGCCGGCCGGCGACGACGGCGACCCGGACGTGTGCGCCGTGCAGCTGCCCAGCCGCGGCTCGTCACACCAGCAGGTGGGCTGCGGCTCCCCTCCTTCCTTCCCTCCGCCACGGTCCGGCGCCGGCCTGTCCGTCCGCACTTCCGAATGTCTCGCGGCCCCCGTGAATGCGTAGCGAGTGTCCTGCTGTGCGTCGGATGGATGTTTGCTTGAGTTCTGCCTCTGTTTGGTCTCCGTTGAAGCGCTGCCTGGTTGTGCACCCGACAAAATGCGTGGTCGTGATGCTTTCTTTTTGCGTCTGTGTGCATACGGCTATCGGGGTGGATCGTTCACCACCAGACGACCCCGCACGTTGTCGGTCGCGCCCGCCTGATGTCTGTCTCGCCTTCCAGCCTGACTTCTCCGCGCCTCCTGTAGCCCGGTCCGTTTCGTTAGGCGCCCCGCGCCGCGCTCCGCCCCTGTGGGCTGTGTCGGTGAGCTCGCCGTGCCCGTCTTGCTTCCGCTGTGCATGGCCGCTGATGGCTGCGCTGTTCCCGCTTACAGGGGTCGCCAGTGAACGGCCGGTATTCCGCCCCGCGCATGGTAAGCACCTCGCGCCGGCGCCCGGCGCGCGCCCGTTCCGCAGCCGCGCTCAGGCGCCGCCGGGCGTGATAACGCCTTGATATGGTAGCTCTGGGCTTACCGCGCTGGTAGGGGTGAAGTATTTCCGTAAAGCTCTATTAAACCTACGCGTCACGCCAGCGCCTTGATATGATAACCGCTGTAGCATGATAGCAATACACTGACTGCGCTGCTATTGCTTGCTTGCTGTGAAAATTGCTCTGAAAATAAGCGGACAGCTTCACTTTCCTGAAGGGTGTCGTTCGAGCGTGGCTGAAATCGTCTGACGGGGACTTACCAGTCGCTTGTATTCCAAGAGGTTTCCGCTGAAAATTCTTGGAAAGTTGCAATGTTAAGCTTCCGAACCGTAACGTTGCAAGCGTTTGAAACACACTGAAAGTTTCCAAGCGTTAGAGCATGCATTTTTTTCGCTTTGAGGGTGTGGAACGGATTCGGAAAAGCAAGAATGTAAAGGCATTGCAAACTGCTGCTCTGAGCGATATCTCAACCACGGGCTATGAACGTCCATTTTATTGGCAACACAAACGGTGGGAAATTCAGAGTTGTGCTAAGATAACGTTTACTTTCAGCTAAGATGTGGAAAGAAACACTAAAGCACCCGGTAACCCGTTCTTGATTTTCTTCAAATTTCTTCTTTATTTTTCATTTTTGGCCGACCGAAAAGCCGAGATCCCTTGGATCGATCGGAGATCGATTCGGCGCAAGGTGGGTTGCAATTATCGGGGATACAATTTCGAACAGGTTGAAAAGGACCTGCAGACTAGACAGCTAGAAATTCCTGGTGCGTTTTTGACCAGCCACAGCTACCATGGTATGCGAATCTATTTGGGTGCAACGAGTATATGGTATATCGTATATGGTATATATATGGTGTATGGTATATATATATATATATATATATATATATATGGTATATGGTATATGTATTGTATATGGTATATATGTGGTATGGTGTGGTATGGTAGGATATGTTTTTTGTCATTTTATAGCTCAGTTTGATTTTTTCATGCAATGTTTCAGCCATAGTATTGGTATATAGTATGCACAATTCAACTTATTCAAAGAGAGCGGGAGAGGGAGAGGGAGGGCAGAGGCACGGGAGGGGGAGGAGAGGGAGAGGGAGAGAGCCCGATATATATATATATATATATATATATATATATATATATATATATATATGTATGTATATATATATATGTATATATGTATATATGTATATGTGTATATATGTATATATATATATATATATATATATATATGTATGTGTGTATACATATATATGTTTATGTTGGTGTGTACGTATATACCTAACTTAACCGAATGTATTACTAGCTGGTTATTAATATATCTACCAGCTAGTTAGCACTCTAGTTACTAACTAGTAACTAACACATGTGACATTCGTTCTTGGGGTTCATTGATGGCTTGAAGTGGCAATCATAGCAACATAGAACTTTTATGCTCTTTCAGTGTGGCAAGCACATCAAACATTTGTGCAAGCCAGTGTGAGATGGAAATTATTTTACACATTTTTACAGTCAATTCGTCGTTTTTCCCTGTTCACCTCACTTTGTGACCGCCTCCATAGCAAATATCGCTTCTGTATACTTCATACACCAACCTGCCTCCCGGGAACACCGATGAGGCTGTAATGGATAAATGAATGGCTGGCTGTTTGGACTAGTATCTGACTGTCACCTTCAGTTTTGGCATCGCGACTGTCGCCGGCACATCTGATAAATATGTCACAATGTGCACAGAAAATACGACCGGTGTTAAGAGAGACTCGGCACAATCTTTCAACGACTGCACATACCATCCTAAATATCTGGTATTGTTTTCGTTCCTCCTTTCCCAACCCTTGAACGGCTTTTGCGTAGATGTGAAATGATACCATAGTGCGTATTTTGTTCAGACGTGTTACTTTGGAAGTACCAGCGACCAATGGGCTGGCAAGTGATTGCTATCACGCACACGCACACGCACACGCACACGCACACACACGCGCGCGCGCGCACATTGACGGGAATACGAGAAATTTCAGCAGAGCCTCCCTTTAATATCAAAGTCTGGATTCGCTCCGAATGTGTTCCGTCTTTTTTTTTAGCTTTGATGCAAAGTGCAGCAGTCATTAGGTCCATATTCATTAAGCATTCATTTTTGACATTTTAAGCTGTGACAAATCATTTGAAATGGTGTTGGAAGACATGAAGTAGGTGAGGCGAGATAGTTTCCTTTTCAGCTGCGGAGAGAATCCGGTCCCATCCCGCAATTTGAGAAGAAAGCGGGCCAGATCCGTAGAGGAAGTCGTTTCTTAGCGTATTTTTGGTGCACGTTTCGTCAATTGCTGCTCAACCCCCAAACTCATTTTGCGGAAGTATGCTCCTGGGGTAGGGAGAAAATAGATCTATCCCCTTACACGACATACTGTTCATACGTTTTCCCACTCCTACTTGCGCCATCACTAAGAAAGGTCAGCAGTCGATATCACGCGCCCGCTTGCGTTATTTTCTGAATTATCCCCTTGTTTGCCATATCTGGCCGTCCTTTCTACCACAGGTGTGTGCTCTTCGCCGTTGGGCGTTTCTAACGAGTAAGGTGTTTCTGAGATGTGTATGCTGTTCGGTCCCAATTTTGGTCAGGCTGAGTAGCGATGTTTGATGTGACACAAACCATTTCGCACGCAATTGCTTCCAGTCCCATCACCGACGTTTTCGTACGCGCTGTGTACAAGATCAAAACCTACGGACAGAATCTAGTTTAGGTGCTTCGGTATCGGGTTTGCTGATTGCCAGGGTCACAGGCAATTCAGGCAAGGTAAGGGTAACCTTGACTTAAGACCATGCTAGACCCATCCAGTTATTGGAAAATGAACTCTTGTGCTGGCGTAAGTTCGTGCAGGCTATCTAAAATGGCAGGGCACAACACATCATGTCGCCTAAACTTGCAATCATGGCCCCCTTAACCCCATATTCCGTGATGTTTTTTTGTGAGATGCATTATGTTAGAGGGCGTCACCACCTACGATCGCTGGGTCCCCACTTTGGAAGCTCCCGCACAACGTTGTCGGATCGCCCCGTGCCAGAGCGATCACGTTTGGCCAGCTGCCACGTGACCTTTTCATTGCGGACTAGCCGACTGATTCGCCCGTTGTGGTTCAGGTTCAAATCCCACGGGGCGGTCGCTGCCAACGAACCGACTGACGCTGAAGAGACCGCCGTTAGCTAAAACGCGGATGGATGGATGGAAGTGCTATGATTACGGGCCTACATCCGAAGAACTTCTGAAATAATGGAATTCGGTGTGGGCAATGTTGTACTTTTTAAATCTAGATCCACTTAGCGGGCTGTCACAGCGGACTGGTTACCGTAGGATTTCTGAGGTTATGAAAATATGCAGTTAGGATGCTTAATAAAATGCGACTGACCCGTGGTTGCCCATAGTCAATGACTTAAAAGAACGCTGTGGTTTCCTTGTGGTAGGTGATTCGACCCCAAATCATATTGGCTAAAGTGAGCCTGCCGTTGTGTGTATGACTCCATGTTAAACTCTCCTTTGCGATGTACGATCCGGGATATATTAATAGAACCACCGTCTGCAGCGTGGTACATCCGCCCATCTGTCCTCATTCTCGCCCTGTTCTGCATCGTCGCGACGCCCCGTTTATCCGAGCCAAGCTACATGCACCAGCCATAAGTGGCCCTAAGCGCCCCCTGGTGAGGCCCCGCACGAGCGCCGGGCACATACCCCGCATAGAGATTTCTGTGCGGACGGAGTTTTGCCGGACGGACCCCCAGATGTGTGTAGCTTTGCCTCACCGTCATCCACTCTACTTCGTCACATAGCCCTGGAATGGTCACTGCTGGCCGGAGGGCTAATCCAAACCCATCCAAACCAAAATGGTCTGTCGAGCTTCACGCCTGGGCTCGCCCCTGACGCGGGGTGACCCGACCTGACCCGTCTGACCTTTGACCGGGCCGGGGCTGTGCTGGACGACTGGACAGCAGAGCGGGCGGTCGGGGCGGCCCAGTTCGGGGTGGCTGGCAGCGTGCCATACCGCCGGCTCTGGGTGTCGTGCAGTGTCTGCGGCGGGCGGCGGGTGGGCTTCTCCCGACCTGACGCCATGGAGGCGGGGGTGAGCGTGCGGGCTCTCAGGACCGCCCGTGAATATCTCTGTATTCGCGGGTTCTCTGCGTCTGTCGTGTCAGACCGGCGGCCTTCGCTTCCTTGGCTCCCTGCACGGCCATCCGTGACTGTGACAGTAGCTGGCGGAGAAGCGTTCCTTTGGAGGTGTTTATCCGGGTTCCCTGGTCGTCTCTGTTGACCCGCGCGCCTCTGCTTTCTTGTCTGTGTCGCTCGCTGTTGCCGTGATCCGTGGCTTGTGACCTGTGATCTGTCATCTGTGATCATTGTGTCAGCCTGTTACCGCCGGTTGATCCGCGCAGTAACTGACTGTTGTCCCGCTATGTGAGCCACCGTTGTCCCGCTCCGTGAGCCACAGTTGTCCCGCTCCGTGAGCCACCGTTGTCCCGCCCCGTGACTTACCGTTGTCCCACTCCGTGACTTATCGTTGTCCCGCTCTGTGACTGAAGGCTGTCCCGGTCCATGACTGAGGGCTGTTCCGCTCCGTGACTTGCTGTTGTCCTGCTCCGTGACTGAACGCTCTCCCAGACCGTGGCTGAAGGCTGTCCAACTCCGTGACTTATTGTTGTCCCGCTCCGTGGCTTACCGTCGTCCCATTCCGTGACTTACCGTTGTCCCATTCCGTGACTTGCTGTTGTCCCGCTCCGTGGCTTACCTTTGTCTCGCTCCGTGACTTACTGTTGTACCGCTCCGTGATTTACCGTTGTCCCGCTCCGTGACTGAACGTTGTCACGCTCCCTGACTGAACGTTGTCCCACTCCGTGACCGAGCGCTGCCCCGCTCCGTGACTGAAGCCTGTCTGGTCCGTGGCTGAAGGCTGTTCCGGTCCGCGACTGAGCGCTGTCCCGGTCCGTGACTGAAGACTGTCCCGCTCCGTGACTGCAGCCTATCTGGTCCGTGACTGATTGCTGTCCCGGTCCGTGACTGAGCGCTGTCCCGGTCCGCGACTGAAGACTGTCCCGATCCGTGACTGAAGCCTGTATCTGGTCCCCAGCGGACCGCATCGTCGCTCTCCGGCTCGCGCAGCTCGTCCTTCTCGGCCAGCGGAGGCGAGCCGGCGGCCAGCTCCCCCGTGCCCAGCTCGCCGCCAGACTACGTCAATCTCAACATCGAGGTAGGAGGCGGCCGGCCGCGTCGTCAGCGTATTAGCCGCGTGTTGTAGCAGACTGCGTCTCACTTTGTGCAGTGAGATGGGTGATGGTTGGAAAGTAAAGTGTGGTTTAACTGAGTGTGTTCGGTCTGCTTTGGGTGCCGTTACTGAATCGTGTATGCTTTTGCACGTCATTGTGACATAATCTGGTGGGCGCCGAATGACCTATGACTTCGGCGCGCCCTAAAACTTAAATCATCATCATCATCATCATCATCATCATCATCATTATAGTCAGCCTTATGTCTTGAATTTGGCATTCTCACTGGGATGATTGGGCACATGAACCAGTTTCTCATCTGTTACTTTATTGTAGTTAGTCGGTATTTTACTGAATAACACTAAACTAGCACTTGGCACGCTCCGAAAACTCGAAAGCATTTTTGATTATGTGCATTTTGAATTGGTTATTTCCTAAGTGGCAGGTACATGAAACTGGATTTTAAGAACTGATGTCAACTTGTTTGTATGTCGCAGTTCCGTGATGTGCAAAGGTTGATAAAGAACTAGGCCTTCGTTACTACCAGCACATGTGGTTTTCACCAATTATTCTCGCTCGTCACCGTGCTTTCGTCGTCAAAACGGTTGCCAAAACTACTGTCAAAACAGCTGATTTGACACTGCCACCAAAAAGCGTGCATATTTGGACATTCGCAGTGTTTGTGGTGCATGTGCACTCCCGGAGACGAAATAGCTGTATCGGAAATATGCTTGGGGCTTCCACCGGGCAGACCCGGGTTCGATTCCCGACGGACGCATTGGTCTCCGGGCGGGATGCGTACATCACCAGTGTAGCAGCCAGCGCTCCCCAAAGGGTTACACGTTGTCGTGCGCTGCGTTAAAGAAATATCCGCGCATTTCCACTGGGCGTGCGCAACTAAAAAATAAAAACAGTCGAAAGCTTCTACTGATCAGTTTTCAGCTCCTGACCCCCATGCACGCAGTCCCCCCCCCCCTACCTCGGGATACCAGAACAGTGGTCAAGCTGTGCGTATGGAAAACCAGAGGTATAGGGTTCGATTCCCCGTGGTGCCCGCCCGTCCTGCCAGGGTGAGAGGCAGGCGACGCGATATAACCTCAGCAGCTGAATGCGCCCGAAGCCCCAATAACAACAGTCGCTAGTACCTCGACCGTGTCGTGCCTCGAGGCTAGACTAAACAAATCAGAACCCTGCCCCTTGCCCTGTCCCACAGGCAGACCCTGCCGCCCCAGCGCGTTGACACGCTGCGGCGGCGGCGAGCGAGCTAGTCTAACCGGGCTGCTTTTTGCTGCCGCCGTACAAATGCGCTCTTGCCGGCTGAACTTAGCCTATAACGATCCCGATATGCGTGAGGAAACCGAAGGATAGCGTGTGCAGTAAATACGAGTGTTGCCCGCACACCGCGAAAACTAATTGCGCTGAGCCGAACGACTCGCGTTGCTGTCCACCGTCTTGGTCCGCTGACTTTCCGTAGGATCGTCGGCCCATCGCCGCCGGATTGCCGTCGCGACGGTGTCGCCTGTCCCTCCCCGTTTTTGTCCCAGTGATCCGATCTGTCCCTGTCGTCTTCGTCCCGGTGGTCCCAATTGTTCATGGTGTCTCCACAACGATGGTCCCAGCTGTTCCTTCCTGTCTCTGTCGCAGTGATCCTGTCTGTTCGTCCTGTCTCCGTCCCAGCGATCTCGTCTGTTCCTTTTGTCTCAGGTCCCGGCGGCCTCGACTCTCGGTGGTCCCGGATGTTCTTCCTCCCCTTGTCTCTATCCCGGAGGCAGGTCGGGAGTTCTCACAGTTAGCTTGTTCCTCGCGACCACTCCAGCTGCGAAGCATGCCGTGTCCAGCGTCTGACGCGCGCTCCTTGCGGCCGGGCCGTGCTCACACCGCCCGGTTGGGCCATGCTCACACCGCCCAGCCCGGCCAGCACACCGCCCAGCTCGGCCACACGCCACTGCCCAGCCCGGCCATGCTCACACCGCCCAGCCTGGCCACACTCACACCGCCCGGACAGGCCAGCACACCATGCACGGCGGAGCCTGCGCACCGTTGTCTTTGCACGCACGGGTGCGAGCAGGCGACTCGGCGTCTGTTCAGTGCTGGTCTGGCGCGTTACTCTGTAGGCCTCTGACCGTCTGTGCAGTGTGGTCCTTCTCGTGAGCGCGCGCCACCGGTCCACAGGAGCAGCCGTGGTGGTCGGGCGAGATGGACCGGGTGCAGGCAGAGCGCGCGCTCGAGCACCGGCCGCCCTGGCACGTTCCTGGTGCGCGTGTCGGCCGCCCAGCAGAACAAGTTTGTGCTGAGCCTACGGTGAGTGCAGCTGACGGGGGCCCGCGCTGGCCCGCATGCCACAGCTTGAGAAGAGATGCTATCGGAGCAGGCAGGGAGATGTTATCAGTGATCCCAGTATACCGGCCAATTATGGAGTCTAAATTCGTCTTGAACACGCTGTCGGTCGTTGTGAGGGCGTTGTCTGCGATGGGGTTTGCGATGGGCGGCCTGGGAGTAACGTTGAGAGATATCCCGCGTATTTGACCATGCGTTCTGACCGCCTGCTCTGATCTACGCTCGGACCGGTCGCTCTGCCCGTTCGCTCTAACCGTTCACTCTGACCGTCCGCTCGGACCGTCCGCTCTTACCGCTCGTTCTGACCGTTCGCTCTGACCATTCACTCTGACCGTCCGCTCTGACCGTCCGCTCTGACCGTCCGCTCTGACCCTTCACTCTGGTCGTCCGCTCTGACCGTCCGGTCTTCGCTGTAGCGCGGCGGAGAAGGTGAGCCACATGAAGATTCGCCAGGATGACGATACTGACACCCGCTACAGCCTCAGTCCGGCTCGCCAGTTCCCGTCAATCATAAAGCTGATCCAACACTACCAGCAGCACACCCTCGCAGAAAACTTCTCCGGGTACGCGGTGTTTCGTCTCGGAGACGGCGTGTGGGCGGGGGGGGGGGGGCTGCCACCCTTCGGCGTGTCTGTCATTGTTTGGTTTTTGCTTACAGTATGTCCCATCTCCTTCAGCTTTCTTGGGATCTTTAATGTTCAAGCTCTGATCGGTCACGACTGTGGACTGTTGACGTTTGTTCCGGGATTCTTTAAGCTGAGAGATTCAAGGAGCGCGTCTGTTTTTTTCGAACAACTTTTGGTAAGTGAACAACTGACTACTCCACGTTTTCATCGGCACGGTCGCTCCGATGTCTGGGGTGCCCAGTGCGGTGACGGTAGCTGCAATGGCTGTCCTCAGGCTGCTCATGTCGCTCGGCAAGCCATGGCTTCAGGAGGATAAGGCGCTGGTCATGTACAAGTACACGCCCAACGGCCGCGCCGACAACATGCTCGCGCTCAACGTCGGCGAGGAGGTGCTGATCCAGTCGCGCGGCAGCGAGTCGCAGGGCTGGTGGAAGGGCCGCATCGGAGACCGGGTGAGTGGCTCTCGCGTGCCAGTCGCTGCCCGGTCCGCAGCCTCGCCGCCGCCGCTGTGCACCAGACCGGGACACTGTGCTGCCGGTACTCGCGGGTCCGAGCGCGGCCGCCTCTCTGACCGCGTGTGTCCTGTTTCAGCGGGCTACTTCCCGAAGTCGTACGTACAGGAGATCGACTGAGGGGAGCGTCGCGGCGTTGGCGGCGGCCGGCCGGCCGTCCTGCCGGCCCAGCGCGCAGTGTGTGTCAGTGCCAAACTCGGATCAATGCATGCTCACCCGTGTGTCCATTATTAATGCAGATAGCAGTGTCTTACGACGGAAAGCGAGCGCAGAGAATGTGATACTCCCCGCACGCGCCGCCTGCCCCGCCGCTTAGCGCTTCACCACTGGGCGCGTTCCATGTTGTGCCGCGCCGCGCGCGTGCGCGGCGTGGCGCGGCTAGTCATTCCGATGTTTCGTCGCGGCACAGTTATTACCTCCTGATGTGGCAGACGGTGGCCGGCATCTGCCGCCGGTCGGTTCGCGCGTCGCGGCGGGCCAAGAGACGCTCGAAAGCGGCCAGCCGGGTTGTGCGCGCGCGTCACAGCGCTCTGCCGAATGGACTATGGTCGCGTTGCGACCGTGTGAGCCTTTACCGGAGACGATGAGGGAAGGGGAGGGGGCGAGTGGGAAGGACAATGCTGAGCGGGGCCGGTGTTGTTGCCCTCTCCGCACGGTGGACCGGGCGCCGCGGCGGGCCTGCCGCCGCTCTGAGAGCCACGTATTCACTCAACGACTGTCGCATTCGCTGTTATGCACTCGATGTCAGTGATGCCACCTCGGTCTGGTTCGCTGCAGCTTTGGATGTGGAGTCACCCGGTGTCCGGGCCCATTTCCAGTCGCTGTGTCCGATATTCGAAATAGATGTCCACCTCCACCGCCCTGCCAACTGGTCTGTCACCCAGCAGCGAGGAGAGTTGCCGTGTGGCAAGTGCACCACTATGCGTATACTATTGGGAGTACTGAGTATGGGTGCGGGAGTGTCACTAAAATCGGTTGGGGGAGAGGGGCTAAGCCAAGAAAGTTGCCCTGACCTACCCCAAGTCCTGATTTCTACCCGGATGTCGGCCATCTAAGTGCACGTCACTGGTGTTAAAACTAAAGAATAAATGTGTTTGGTCGGTTCTAAGTTTGTCTTAATGCTGGGAAATCATTTCCCATTTGAAATCGATCTGATGGTGTGATGATATATGATGGTATCGATGCGGACTTATTTAGACACCTTGTATACCAGCAGTTAAGACACTTCGTGCATTTCGTCGGCCCAGTATTCTTTGCTCGTATGCATTTGGGGGGGGGGGGCTCAAAGGAACAATTGGGGGGGGGGGGGGCTCAAGTCGGTGTTGGGTTGGGTTGGAAGGGGAGGGACAGGCTTTCTGAAAGTGCATAAAGCGACGCCCCTGTGTGAGTGTCAGGGGTATCGTTTGTTGGTAGCGTTTGCGTTCAGTGTGGAGAGGCGTATCGTTGGCGACATCTCGTGCCACAGGTTCATGCGAAAGTATGGACGGCAACGGAGCCCTGCCTGTCGCCCATACGCGCCGTTGTATCACGACGCTTAGATGTGCAAAAGGTGTGCAGAAGGTCAGAAGCAAATGCCCAAGCTGGTCAAGTCGTTTATGGTCATCGACAGTCGGCCGTAACCACACCGAGTGGCTGGGGAGCAGGGGTAGTAGAGTCACTATGGAAGCAGGATGAACGCAGTGCCATCAGCAGCAACGACCTGCTCAGAGTCCAACTACGTCAGTGCAGAACCCGCTGTCGAATTTTGTGGAAGGTCGACTTTTGTTTCTGGCAATTTGCCTCCGTATTTCGCGCCGTGCCGTCAACCTGTCGACAACCCGCCGCTGCCGGTCGGGACGCTCCGGCGTTCTTCGTGGCACCTTTGCACGAGTGCGAGCTGTACACCCCATGAAGCTAGATGCTAGAGCTAATAATAATGCTATAATAATAATGCTAGAGCTCTAGGAATGAGGCAGCGAGTTGACGTTTCGATGCATGTGAAAATCTGTCAATGTGACAGTCTGTCAAACCCACTGGGTTGGGGCAAGCGCACGTTCGAAACAAATGACAGAACGTCGGAAAACTGGCTCAGTTTGAGGCCGTAACTCAGCTGCCTTCCCCAAACGAAGACTCGCTAAGGGTGGCATGAAGCGTGGCAAGGGGAGGAGTGGTTTTATTGGGCGCAGCTTTGTGCGCAGGTGTAGCATAATACACTAACGCGAGTCATGTTGAGATGCTTACGGTGTAACCAGGGAAGGGGGGGGGGAGGGGTCTCGTTCGGCGAACAGTTCGTCACCAGGGGAGAGGAAGGGCTTGAAAGCGGTCAAAAATTGCAACACTTCACTACCGAACGGGCGGATGATGCTTTGCGCAACTTGGCCAATGGACAAATAGGTGGCGTTAAAACCCCTGAAAGCAGGGGCGTAGTCTCGCAAAGCAGTTGGGGGGGGGGGGGGGGGGGGCTGAACAATGAGAGGTAACCCGACGCTCCCCGAAACACGCATACAAGCGGGCTCTGCTCGGATTTTGCTCACTCTTCCCGAAGTTGGGACGAAAGCCAAAGTTGGGAGGGGATTTCAGCCCCCCCCCCCCCCCCACTGAAAATGAATTTAGGAAACTACACCGCTGCCTGAAGGGCTTACGCACATTGGGTGTTGTGAACTATAATGGGCTATGAACGATTGAGGTGAGCCATTATGCAATCATATGAACGTGTAATGAACGATCGATCGTTTTATGCAGAAACAAGTCGCCCGATTAATTGTGCTCAGAGTAGCGAACTAGAAATGCCACCGCATGGTGTGAAAAGGCGATATTTAGTGTTTACAAGACGGATGATTCTAAACAAATAACAAACAAAACAGTGATTGAGTTTTCCCAAGACTAGGCACAGCGGCGAAGGGACCATTTCAAAACATTTGAAAACTGCGGAGCCAAGCTGCGTTATGTACGTCTTTAATGTCGTGGTCAAGTATGTTCACGACGTGAAGTGAATTAGACTCTTGGTGATTGCCGCACATGCGCCAATTCCCCGTGGCAATGAGACAGTGATTGCGCGCGAGCTCATTAAAGTTGTGCTCAAGGCGACGTAGCGTGTTGTGCTAAAGTTTAGTTTGATTTTCGTGGTGGACGTATACGGGGGATCCCACGGCAGTCCTGCCTTGGGACTGATTCTTGCTTTGTCTGCTTGCTTGGTTATTGGGTGCCTTGGACATCCGGTGGGCCATGTCTGCCGCTAACGTTAAGTGCTGATGTGCCTAGAGGAAAAAGGCTGTACGTAGGCCTGCAGCTCCAATGCGCGCGGAACAGCCCGATAATTGCTTGCATATTGTCCTTTTTGTTCGCCACCATTGAGGTTTGTTGATAGGCTGTGATTATTTCATTGAGCTGGAGCTGGGGCACAATTTTACATTTTACAATGGAAGTGGACATTCGACTAGCTGCGGAGCAACCCATCCGGGAGGAGAATGCGCGAGAACCTGATCACTTGGTGACACCTGGTGATACAGTTACAGGAGATGGGGGCTTCATGAGGTTTGTACATATTTAATAGGCTGCCTAACACCTGATCTTGTCTGTACAACATCTTTTCACCCTGCTGTACCTGTGTGACATCAGCTGAATTTTGTGTGTGCAAGCTGAACCTTATGTTATCTGAAACATTGGCTCTCATGCATAGATATTGCTCATGACTATGCACCAAATTCTTAACTCTGATATTAACAAGGTATGTGCCCCAAATTATTGCTGTGATCCCACTGCTATGCCACGCTTGTTAAATGTAGCATTTTTTGGTGCCCTGTTGCCTGGTCTGGCACAGAAAAACTGCAGCTTTGTGGATTGACTATTGCAAGTTCTTGAACAGAAAATGATGGTACTCAACAAAATTTGAATGTGGTCTTATCAATTATAGTTTCATAATTTTATTAAAAATCTCCTTTCCATCAGTATCATTCATAACCTGTTAAGTAAAGTTTGGAATAGAACAGACCAGCCATGTACCAATTGTGTGATAGAGACACATAATGGAAAGGAAAGGTTAAAATATAACTGTTTTGTCTTCTGGTAATATGTTTGTAATTACCTGGGTATTGTCTGCTATTGCTAACACCAATCTTGATCTCCAGGGGTCATGGCACATACAAAGATGGAGAGTTTTTGGTGGCATCAGTAGCTGGCCTTGTAAAAAGAATCAACAAGCTGATTTCAGTTCAACCATTGAAGACCAGATATAATGGTATGTTTTAGGTGACTCAAATGGCCCGCAAAACGTCAGAAGTCATGTTTTTTGTATCCTACTGCAATAATCTGTTGTATGCATTGGTCCTCAGTCAAGTTTGAAATGAGACAGATGATGGTAATATTGCACAATAAAGCATTTATTGCATGTCCAAGGTGTTTGTATCTCAGGAAATGGTGTTGAGGCTTCTGGCATTGCATTCTCACTGTAATATGATTTTGTTCTGAAGCTATACTGTGTTAAGTCCAGAAAAAGTTGGGCTCTAGAATGTAAGTCAGATATGTGTTGCAAGACTATACTGTGTTCTGTCATCAAGGAATTCTTAGAATTCAGAGTGAGCAATATCAAATTGAATCATGACTGCCTTGGGGAGGCAGATCAAATTTTCCACTGGTCGCTGACCTGGTGATAGGGAGTGGCAAAGTAATACCTACATTTATCTTAAGCTTGTGTATAAGCTGCTGTTGCTTCCCAGAGGGTTTTAGTTGCATGCTTTCATTTTCACTTGGATAAGTATTTCTGGCTTTCAGAATGGACCACTGCTGTCAAAGCAAACTGCTTGTATGTCATTCTCATTTATCATGGCAAGGTCTGTCAGTGTTCACCCTATTAATGAAACTAATGCATGCAAGCACAGAGCACAGTACAAAGCACAGCCTCTCCATCACCATTGATGACATGTTGTCAGCAAGGATCACAGAGACACCCTCAGCAGCACCACAGGGGCCTGCAGTCACATGTGGGGGCAGTGGGAGCCATCAGTGCTGGGGCATGCTCGCGGCTGGGGACGATCTGATCCGCGCGCCGTTGCCTTCTCCGCCAGGCGAGATCGGTGATGTGGTGATCGGGCGCATTATTGAGGTGCAACAGAAGCGCTGGAAGGTGGACACATGCAGCCGGCTGCACTCGCTGCTGCTGCTGTCGTCGGTGAACCTGCCGGGCGGCGAACAGCGGCGCAAGACGCAGGAGGACGAGCTGGCCATGCGCTCCTACCTGGAGGAGGGCGACCTCATCAGCGCCGAGGTGCAGAACGTGTTCTCCGACGGATCGCTCTCCCTGCACACGCGCAGTCTCAAGTATGGCAAGGTACGTGCATGCCGACCAGTATGTGGTTCACTGGCCCAGTAAAGGGCTATGTGAAGGGCTGGTGTTACTTTTGAACATGCAAAGCAGACTTTGTTTCTGTCTGACACAGATCAGTAGAGCATGACGTGGTCTCATGTTCAACCCTAAACGGGACAGTCTGACGTAAAACTTTCTGAAACATGGCAAAATTTATGTCATTTAACTGCATGATTTGAGTTACCCCTCAGGTCTGAACAAGCACGGATCATCTCTGGCTGGGCTTGTTCCAGTTGTCACAAGGAGTGATGGTTAAGGTTCCGCCGTCGCTGGTGATGCGGAGGAAAAACCACTTCCACGATCTGCCGTGTGGTGCGACCGTGATTCTGGGCAACAATGGCTACATCTGGATCTGTCCCACCATCAATGTGGAGGATGGTGGCACCGGCACAGGCGGCTATGTTCAGAATCTGGAGGTATAGTGAGCCCATCAAATGCTGCGTCGTGGGGAGTTGGGGAGGCTTAGCCATGCTGACACCTTTGTTTGTAGATGTTGGATCAGGGTGATTAGATTTGTAGTGCTATCATGTGGAGAATGTCTAGCTTATAGTGCTTTCTCTCAGAACTGTTTGATTGACAGTCACACTTCTGACACTGTCTTCACTTCTTAAGATCAGTTTATGCCACATCAACTCAAGTACAGCTGACAGAGTATCACAACTGACTGTTGTAGAGAATTCGGAGAGAAACATGCGAGAACAATGAGATGTTACATTTTTGCACTCAGTCTCAGTCAGTCATCTTAGTGACTCAAATATTCTCTGTCCCTATCAATTATTTGTACACCTAAAAGTGTTGGCCCACAAAGTTATTTGCAGGCATCTTTATTGATTGTGAACATATGGCGTTTTTCGTAATGGCGACGCCCAGAAATCTGAAAACAGTAGTTAGATTTCAGATTATGCTTTAGGAAAGCAGCTTTGGTGCTTTAAATGAAACACGAAGTCTTCCTTGTGATCAAAGCATTAATTTTGAGATCCACCTTGCTACATTCAAATGACAGAAAAGCACCCAGTTGCATTGCTGTTTGCTTATCCATTATTTTCAGTGACTCCGCTTTATGGCTTTCAAGTTTTCGACACTCGCGCTGGCTTCCACCACTCCTCTAGGCTGTCATGGCGGTGCACCAAATGTGTTAAAAAGGAGGCTGACAGGTGTGAAAAAATGATATGCTTCACTCGACTTCACACATTTTGTTAAAGCCATGCTCCTGGTCCTGGGGGTGTGTCGGTCGGTTCCCTCACAGTCGCTTTGTGCCAGTAGAGCCCGGCGGGCCGGTAATGCTCCGCGCTGACGGTGGCTGGGCGGCGGCGCCGTTTCAGCGCGTGCCCTGCGCCGACCGGGAGGTGATCTCCCGCCTGCGCAACTGCCTGCTGGCGCTGGCCGCCTCCTGGCTGATGCTCTACGACACGTCCATCCTGTACGCCTACGAGGCGTCCGGCAAGTTCCAGGTGAGCGGGCTCCAGCTGCGGTCCGTCTCGGACTGGCAGTAAGGCGTGAGCAGCGGGGAGGGGGTAAGGGCCCGGCGCTCGTAACATGTACAGTTCAACGACGCTGGAATGATGGAAAGGAGCTCTTAAGCTTTTAAACATTCGTTGTACTCTCGCAGCACTAGACCGGTTTCCGCACTAATGCTTTGAATTGTGTGAGCCGTCTACGTAGGGGGGTTACGGCTGCCCCCCCCCCCCCCTCCCGAATAAAAAACAAGGCTTCATTCTTCGTGAGTCATGATGCGATACTGCTGGAACAAGACGGACAGCACAGCGTGCCGGTGCGAAAATACTGTCAGAACACCTATGAGATCTTGCGCATGGCGCTTAACATGCATGATGTATCGCAGCTAAAATTGGACGTTGGAACGCGTATCTGGCATGCCCAATGGAAACACGAAACTTGTCTGCCATGCCAGCGAGCGTTCATTTGCTCGCTGATGAGCTGAGCGTCATCGTTCGAGGTAATTTGGCACTGTATGGTCGCATTCTGTAGTCGCTAACGAGGCCGTAAGGTCGATGCTGATTGGTAGTTATTGAAGAAATCACTGCTGTTTGACGAGATAACGGGTGGCGGTATTGGCAAGAAGCAGACCGAATGGTGCCTCGGATTACACGCACTCGGCATCAGCGTTGGATCCGTCGGTTTTGGGGTGTTTTTGATTGCTGCAATGTAATGGTGGCTAATAATTGAAACCAACTGCATGGTATAAGGCAACATCCGTGTTTGCCCGTTCATCGATCGGAACTTATGATAAAGATGACGACCGATACTTTGGCACAGTATACCTGGTACGCATGTGTGATGTTTGTGCGTGTTGTGGAGGGGATTGGCGGGCGGAAGAACTGAGGGTCGTGTTGACCGTGTTTGTGTTGTTCAGGCACGTGATCTGCTGAAGCCGGAGGTGATGTTGGAGGTCGCTGACTTGACACGGAAGCGGCTGGAGCTGGAAGCAGCGGAGTAACGACGCAGAAGTGACCGGTCGGCTGTCAGCACGTGCCTTCGTCGGTCGCCGTTTTTTATGAATACAGTGTTAAGCTGGTGATTCTATAGGTCGTACGGTTGGTGCCAGCAGCTGGGTAGAGTAGCCATGCTGCTACGTGCCGGCAAATGCCATGGTCTCCTGTGCCATGCATTTTTTCTCGGCTGCGTAGCAGTCAGCCATTTTACTGTATGAAAACACTTTGACACAGTATACCCGGTATTTGGTTGCCCATATACCCGATGTGTGGCTCTGCCATACACCGGAAATACCATTGCCCATATACCCGGTGTATATGGTTTTGTTGAGCTCGAATGAAAGTGATGAGTGACAATGATGACGAAAAGAGGAGGCATACCAGTCTAAGGCCGCCACACTGACCATTGTTCCTTGCGTAGTGTCGCGAGGCGAGGCGAGCTTGAGCTGAACCGTGGCGTGCCGGTGCAGCTGTTGACCGCAGAGCGTCCCGTACTGCCACCTATATTGCCGGAAACGGAACAGAGCGCTGCCTTTTGGCAGATGAAATCTTAAACTTCATTCATCCTGTTGTGCTCATCGTGGGAAATGACCGGGACACACCATCGTCAGCTGTCTTGACCCGGCGAGAATCATGAGGTCTTAATCCTTGATTAGTTTGCGTCCATCAGTCCGGGGGAACTCTTCTTGACGAATTCTAGCATCGCGTTGCTACTGTTTCTCCAGCGGAGTTTCTCCTCTGCTACCACCTGGTGGCGCCGTGGGAGGTTCTGCGAACGACCTGTACGCGTTAATCAAACTACGTAGCAACGGAATGACATCAGGTGGGATCAGGATAGCAGCCATAACAAGCTGAAAGCCATTTAACTCAGGAAAGGACACTGGTTATCCTCACTTCGTAAATGCAGGAAAGAAATCACGCTGACTCGCCTACGTATTGGCCATAGCTACACCACGCACTCATACCGACTGAGCAACGCAGCAAACATACCTACATGCCGTAGGTGCGGCGAGATCCTCGCTGTCGGGCATGCGCTGGTAAAATGAGCACTTCTAATCGCTAAAAGGCAACAGTTTTTTGTTACGGGTGAATATCAGAGATCGCACTCCAACCCACGTGCCGTACTTTTTGACCGTTTTTGGAATGCACGTGATATAATCACCTCAATAGCACCTTAAACTCGCCGTGTAATCAAAATGTGCTGAGAGCGCAAAATGACATAAGTAGCCGACGCAATCCATAATACCAGTCATCATCATCAGCATCACTTAGGAAGCTCAGTAAGTTGGTGGACAGATGCATTCACAGTTTGAAGATTTGTTCCCAGCATGTAGTTCGTCGATACTTCTGAAGCTGCTGTTGTCAAATTCCATATGATTCTTCCCTCACTGAATCATCTCTGTAATCAAGGTCTTCAGTTTCTAACGGCATGGCTCGGCCAACTCCCTCGGTGTTGGATCAGGCGGCAGGAGAGCTTGATCCAGCTCCCTGAGTATGGCTGTCCTGAACACCTAGGACTGCAAGGCCATCCTGACTCCCGCCTCTGCTTCGGCTCAGCTGCCGCAGTCATTACATCTTCGGGGCTCACTTCGTCCGCATTGGCGCCCGTTAGCCATTGTTGACTACGCCACCAGGCTGTAACACGTCAGGCGCTGTTTGAGCACTCAGGTGTGTCATTCTAGCGTATTTCGACTGCGTGCAAACGTGCCCGACCGACTTTGCTCGATCCTGAAACAAAGGCATAGAAAACCCATGGTCTGGGGAATCGCATTGCCGACTAGTGTGGTTTCAATCGCTCAGCGCCCTTCGCTTCTACTCGGCAATCGCGAAACTTGTTTCCAGATATATTTAAACCAATTGATCAATACACGTCAAGACTGCACAGTGCGACCGCTCGCGTGGAGCTTGCATCGAAAACAGGCCTACTGGTTACACCGGTGGCGCCTCCAGTGGCCCGGCCTCGAACTTCCACCGATATCCGACTGAATCCACGAATGGCGCCTCCGGAGGCCCGGCCGCAGACCATTGCCAACTCACGCCTCGGGGCATGCTCATAACGTACTGAGCTTCATGCCATTCCATAATAACATACAATTTTCGTGAAAGTGAATTTCTTCATTCACAGTGTTCTTGCGCGCAAGAACTCGGGACGGCCAAACCATGGCTGATTACTGGCAATGTGGTGGGTACTGGCAACGCATCGCTGTTGGTTGGCTCTGACGCTGCGCGCCATCGCTTACGTAAGCTGCGAGTAAAGTCACAAACCAGTCCAGTGATGCACTGGACGTCGCTAAGCGCGGCCAAACGCCGCTGCCCGCACCACCTCACTCCACAGCAGCCGGCCCCATGAGGCGCACGTGGATGCGGACGGCGGCGCTCCTCCCGCTCCTCCTGCTCGGAGGCGCGTCAGGTCGGGCGTCTGCGGCGGATCCAGAGGCGCCAGTCGCACCGGTTCCACCGAGCGGCGGGGACGGAGCAAAAGCCCCACTGCCCGCCTCAACCGCCCCAACACCCGCCTCGTGCAATGCGTCGGCGGCCGGGCTGGGTGCGCGGCGCGGCACCGCCGCATTCGGCCGTGCGAGCCGCCATCACGCAGGCGGAGGCCGTGGGCGTGTTCGTCGGCATCAGCCTGTTCGCCGCCGGCGTGGCGCTCACCTTCACGGCCATCCGCCGGCACGTGTTCCACGATGCCGACAGCCTGGACACGGCGTTCGACGCCGGCGGCCACGTGTCGGTGGGGCTCACGGCCGCCACGATCGTGTCGCAGTGGACGTGGGCCGCGACCCTGCTCCAGTCGTGCACCGTCGCCTCCAAGTTCGGTATCAGCGGCCCGTTCTGGTATGCCGCCGGCTGCCACCGTCCAGATAGTCCTCTTCGCGGTGCTCTCCATCCAGCTGAAGACGTACGCGCCCGGCGCCAAGACGTTCCTGCAGGTGATCCACGCGCGCTTCGGCAACGCCGCCCACCTCGTGTACTGCGGTATGGCTGCGCTAACCAGCACGCTGGTCATGATGATGTTGCTGCTGGGCGGCACGGCCGTGCTGCGCGCGCTGGTGACAGGCCTAACCACCGAGATGTCCGCCATGCTGTTCGCCGCGTTGTTCGGCGGCTACACTCTCATCGGCAGCCTCGGCGCCACCTTCTACGTCTCCTACTTCAACACAGCGTTGATCTTTGCGCTGGTGCTGACGTTGGTGGTGGAGGTGTTCCACGGGAACGGGTCCGACCACGTCTTGGGCAGCGCCGACCGCATGTACGATCTGCTCAACTGCTGGCCGGCGCCGGCCGGCAACCGCGACTCCAGCTTCCTCACCTTCTACTCGAGCGGCGGCCTCATCTTCGGCGTGGTGAACATCCTCGGCAACTTCGGCACCGTTTTCTGCGACCAGTCGTACTGGCAGAGTGCCGTGGCGGCGCGACCGGCGCACGGCGTCTGGGGCTTCGTGCTGGGCGGGCTCACCTGGTTCGCCATCCCGTTCACGATGGCCACCACCATGGGGTTGGCTTACGTAGCGCTGAGCGCGGCACAGGGCAGTCCACTGCTGTCGGACGGCGACGTGGCTGCCGGCCTGGTGGCTCCCGTCGTGGCGCAGGAGCTGCTCGGCCGCGCCGGCATCTTCGCCATTCTGCTGCTCGTCCTGATGGCTGTCATGTCCACGGGCTCGGCCGAGGTCATCGCCGTCGCCTCCATCATCGTCTACGACGTGTTCCAGACGCACCTGCAGCCGTTCCGGCGGGGGCTGCCGTCCAACCACTGCCCGCTCTGCCAGCTGCCGCGCCAAGCGGCCGCCGCCGGAGCCGTCTCGTCCGTCGGCGGCGGCGGCGGCGGCAAGGCGTGCGAGTGCGGCTCGGCAGCGACGTGCGCCGCCTGCAGGGATGACACAAGAGCGCGCCGCTCGGCCGCCGGCTCCGAGCGGCCGGCGTTCTCCTGCGCCGTGCACGGTCCGTATCGCGCCTACCAAGAGCGCCTGCTCAGCTACAAGAGCTGGAGCGTGGTGTGGGTGTCGCTGCTGTCCGTGCCGCTCTGCCTGGTGGGGGCGGCCGTGCAGCTCAACTTGGAATGGGTCTATTACCTGACTGGCACGCTGATCTCGTCGGCCGTCGTGCCCATCGCGCTGGCGCTGCTCTGGGACCGCACCAGCACGACGGGCATGCTCGGCGGCGCGCTGGGCGGCACCGCGTGCGGTCTCATCGCGTGGCTGGCCGTGGCCTCCCAGGAGGAGGGTGGCCTGTCCGACTTCATGGCCAGCACGGGCCGCCAGATGCCCATGCTGACCGGCAACCTGGTCTCGACCTGCGCCGGCGGCGTCTTCTGCACGGCGCTCTCGCTGCGTGACAGCTGGGGCACGTCGGCCGCTGAGCGCGCCGCCGTCTGGCTGTGCACGAGGGACATCGACAACCCGCTGACGCCGTGGGCGGCCGCAATAGGCGAGACGACCCGGCCGCCGCCGGCCGAGCTGGTGCGGCGCTTCAGTGCGGCGCGGCGCACGGCTCTGGTCGTGGGCGTGGCGCTGACCGTCCTGCTGGTGCTGCTGTGGCCGGCCATCATGACCGCCGTGGACTCTCTGGGCCGGGCGGGATTCCGCGCGTGGACGGTCCTGTCACGCGCGTGGGTGGCCCTGGCGGCGGCCTTCATTATCCTGGTGCCGCTGGTTCAGGAGAGCATCGCCGTGTGGCGGCAATGGCGTCACTCGAAACAGCACTTGCAGGGTGAAATAGGCCCTGCAGGACATGACTCGGATAACATTACTCAGTTTTGAGGCGAGGTAGGTTTGTGCACTTATATATATATATATATATATATATATATATATATATATATATATATATATATATGTTTCTATATATACGCAGCAAAAATGCGTGTATACCAGCAAAAACGCATATCACCCGGGACGTTGTCATCAATTTTGTAGCGTCAGTGCTTTTGACCATACGTTTCAGCAGAACAAAGGTGTAATTTGCGGATTGCCGTCATTTCATCTGATGTCATGTTATGTTTTTCCATCGAGATCACTCGCAATATATTGAACCCCGTGCAATTAAGTTCCAATTATATTTTCCCTCGCCAGCTCTTTAGTTGCAACCCGTGTGGTTCCCGGCGGGCCAGAAGAGAATTTTCTGTCAAGAGAGTTTTTCACTCAGGCGTGACTGTTTTCCTCAGCAGCAACGACCGAACGCAATAGTCCTGTGCGCTTTACGCTCACAGGCCAGGGCGTTTTTCTGTATTCTCCTCAGCTTGACTTGAAATGGACGTGTCACTTACGCTGTGAGACCGTTCGGCCACGCAACCACCGGTGGTCACGGGACTTATGTGAAGTCCTCGCATACATGATTGCCGGTGAGAAAAGCATACTATGACATTAGGGCGTGTCGCATCCATACTAGCGATAGTGCACTGCAGCTATCATGTTCGTTCTGGCTCTTAAGCAGCCAGAGACTTGGCAAGGGGAGGGGGCACAAGGTTGACAAAGGGCCCCTTGATAGTGAAAGCCACCCTCCCCCTAAAAAATTGGCGGATGTGGTCCAGTTGTTCATAACGGAATGATTCTATTCTTGTTTTTGTCTAACTTCTCTAACAAGCCACCAATTTTGACCCACTCTATCTGGCAGCAGCAAAAATGCAGGCACCTGGCATCTGGCGAGTCAATCTGGCATCGTTTCAAACTGCCTGCGTACATAAGGCTGGTGTTTCGACAGCTTTCCGTCGGAGTTTCGACTACACGCTCGGCAGACAGGAAGCCCTCAGCATCAGCAGCGTACCGTGGGTGTCCAGCATCCACTCGGTTATTCGCTGACCATTCCACTAACTTACTGTCGTTGGACGTGGCACACTACTGGCCATTTTAGTGAATGAGGTGTAAGCTCAAAATAGTTTTCCTGATCCCCTGATTATCGACTCATTATGAATGGTGCCAAGATAAGAAACTGTGTTCGATGTCGGTGCGGAACACCCAGGCCACACATTTTTCCAACGGGTTCCATTTCTGCACCATTGATAAAATACTTTGCCCGGACCGGTGCTCGCATGAAGTTTGAGATAAACGATTCACATTTGATGGGATTGAGTGTAAGTTACATCGGATAGGCTATGCTGTTATACGTTCGCGGTCAAGTGCAGCAGCTATTCGTCAGATGGCGGCAAAATTTGGTAAACAATTGGAGATTATCGGCATCATCCGACTGAAGGCGGCCGGGCTGAATAACACGCGGTCAGTCGCTGATGGACGGCTCGAAGACAAAACCTCTAACGCAATTGCTATTAACAGCTTTTCTTTCACGATACAACCTCTAACGCAAAACTGTTAATAGCTCAACTTTTAACTTTCAACAACAACTCAACTCAACAACAACAACAAAACAGAGCCTTTACGCCATTACTGTAAGAGTTTGACTCTCACGACGTGAGATCTTACGTAAACATTTCTGCTGAGCATTACTTTCACGCGACTTATAATGAAAACCACTAGGCGACATTACTTCTAATGCAAGAAGCCCAACTCATAAACTTCAATGAGACAACACTGTTGCACAAAACTTGTAAGCGGCATTACTTCCACACAACACTTCTAACGCAAAAACGCTACACATTACTTTTAATGCAAAACAACAACGCTTGAGCTTGGAAATTTGCATGGAAAGGCTTTTGGAAATGGAAATTGAAAGGCTTCTATACGCCATGACTTTTAATGCAAAGAATTGCAACACATCCACTGCTGCATGAAAAAAGCTTTTCAAGTACGCAAGAGCTTTTCTTTTGAATAACTTCCAAAGGCCCCATCGTCAGTGCAAGGACTTTGTTTTGAAGTTCAAACCTCGAGCTTTCTCACCAACAGAGCTTCCTCGCCGTCTGTGCGAGGCATGGACATTTTTTCCTTGCCGCTACTTTGACAGTGAAGTTTGTCGAAGACGACACGTTCTGAGATCTTACCAAAGAGTGGACGCAGAGACACCGACCGATGGCTCGATGGTGCCTTTTTGTCACCTCTCTCTAACATGGGAATGATCTTAGACTGCTTTTCATCTCCGGAGAGACGCTAGATCAGACTCATGCAAGAAATGCCTTGGTAAGGAGACCACAGGCTTGCCAGCGTACTCAACAATGATGCTGACGCTCAGATTGTCTCTGCCACCGGCCTTGTTAGGGTCTGCAGACTGCAAAGCACTTTTTGTCGCGGCTTCCTTCACATGCAGCTCGCATACAGTATGCAAATAACGTGCGGGCACGTCAGAGAGCACAGCTGTAGCGGAGTCGCTGAAAATGTAACAAAAGCATCATGCAGTACTGTCGCGCGTGTCTGATCATAGATCACGTGATGGCTCGCCATCGTCCAGCGCCATCGCAGGGGACAGGTAAGATACCTGATTTGTCAGTACCAGTTAAGAAATGACCAGTACCGTTTCTGGGTAGATGAAAAATTCAGCCAACTTCCGCGGGTAAGATGTTGCTTTCGATCAACCCGCCCTGAGTGGTAATCCTCTCCTCCCACGCAGTAATGAGAGCTGATGTACTGCAGTGCTTTTAAGCAGAGTTTGGAAAGGAAAAGACTCGACAGCAACTAGTACTCTTGTCTCTTATCGGCAACGTCGGTCCTGTTTGCGGAAGCTACGTTCCGAAGCAATGCGATGACACGCACCGTCAGCCAGTGACGTTAACCACTAGACTGAAGCCACGCTTGAAACCTCCACGCATCTGAAATGGACTCGTCCAAGCGATCTCGATGTTGGCGGTTATCGTCAACAGACAGTGAGAGAGCTTTCATTGCTTTCTGATGCTGCGGAAAAGTAATGACACAGGTCTGACCCGGACCTAAGCCAAGATTTTAGACTTAAGGTCTTGGATAGCACCACAATTCCGCCAACATCTTGGCCAGAGATAAACATTTTAAGCCAAAATATTTTACACCACGACCCGCACTCAAAGCCGACGCATGTCAGTGATTGTTGCGTCGATACGGGTGACCAAGGCACGTCATTCATAAACTTGAACGTCAGTTGGAAGCTTAATTACTTTGAGAGCACGTGGAACAAGAAGCATGCATAGGCCAATTATGCATCTGCCCAGACGACAAGGTCCCGCTTTATGGCCTAAGCTGTCCCAGGGGGCTGACCCCGCCGCTGGCCCGGGCAGGGCATTCGGATGACTCTCGACTAAGGGCGCCCAACCACGTCAGCTCGTACGAGTATGGCATCACCGAGAACGCCGAGAGCATCTTTTCAATGATTTTTCATACCAAACATCATTTGCATATGAAACAAACTACCGGAGGCTTTTCGCGCACAGACATCACGCAAAAAAATTTAAGAATCTGCAGCAGATCTGATCGGCACTGACAGACCTCCTCCAAACTTCTCAAGTGGGTAAAAATTCGGAAACATCTTTTGCCTATTTGACCTTTTGCATTCGGCCAATGTCTTTTTGACTTCTTGACTTTTTGTGTGACCCAAGTCCTCCCCTGCATGTCATGCAAAAGAACCGCACGCCAGAACCCGTCTGTATTAAGATGCGCCTCGGATTACGCCCCCCCCCCCTCCCCCTCCCCCCCCCCCCCCCCCCAGTGAACCCGAAGCGCCCGACCTTCGACCAGCTCACGATCGGCTATTTTGGTAGCCAGCCGCGCCGACGGCTGCTTTCTCCTGCCATGGACTCTGCGACACTGGGACCTTGGAATGCAACTCTCGGGTCTGTCGGACATCTCCCTTTCGTTCCTCGCTTACACTTTTTACTTTGTGGCCTGCTCGCTTACTGTCGTTTGGTTTCTGCCCATTTGAATTGCATCCCCTTTTATTTTCTGCCATTGGAATTTTCACATTTGACCTATTCTTTATACTCTTGGCTTCTGACATTTTTGTCCCACTTCTACGCAAAATATCGGCTCCGACAGCTCTCGGGCAGTTCCTCCTGTGGGGCCCAGAGCTCAGGCGGTGCTTGAGGCTGTGCTGTACTGCGATGCTCAGGCTGAGATCCTATCAAAACTTCCACCACTCGCGCTCTCCCGCTACGGGACACCACCGTCTCCGCTGATTCACATCCGGAGGTCCTAGCCGTATCAGCTCCGACACCGCCCTGGTCTTGCGCTCTGCCGCCATGTGACTTCCCGACCCCAGCGCCATCTGTTCTGCAGCCGACTGGCAGCGTACCGGGCATGGACGGATTAGTTCGCCCAGCAGCGGGGCGGACAATCCAAACTGCATTCCCGCAGCCCGCCGCCCACGAGCCGGCAAGCGACCGTCGGTCCCATCCGGCTGCAAAGGTCGTTATGGAGCCCGCACGGTCCATGCCACATGTCTAAACATGAGCTTTACGCCAGTAACAGTAATACCAGAAATACCAAATTTCCTCATTTGAGGATTTTCTGTAGTTTCCCAAGATCTGCCTTCTGAGACGAGTCAGCGATTGTTCAGCTTTCAAATATTAATCTCCAAATTTCCAAAGCCGCTGAAATGTTGTTAAGCATTTCAAAATCGTCATGGAACTCTCTTGCTGCCCTCGCAAATGCCGGATCTTCTTATTTCACCGCTGCCACTTGCCAACGCTGTTTCGATTTTTCTGTGCTGTCAGACTCAACAGTGACTCAAAAACAACCCCGCCAGCCAATGGGCGTGCTGCCTTGCCATAGCGCTGGGGTTGGCTAAAAGGCAGCATTTCTTTAGTTTTCCCATCACGCTCGTCGCAAATAATTGTTTGATGCGTTGTTTATCTGCCGTTTTTCAAAGGGGAGGGAGGAGGGGTACGAGTACGCGTTTGGTCACCCCTGCGGCTCACCTTTCTCGCCGCAAGGAATGAATGTACTCAAACGGAATAACTGCATCCAGGACGCGTACGCTTGGTCGTTTTACTAAACATACTCGCCTGTGGCGACTGAGCAACCGGCTGGTGATATTTTGGCGGCGCGAGAATGTGGAATTGTAACCATTTAGGCTAATTTGATGCTCCAAACCAGAGCGCATATTTTTTTTTTCTTTTAAAACGCCCACATGCCCGGCTCGCCCGCCAATTAATGGCACAGCCGTGCGGCGCATAACATTGTGCATCACATAACTTGCTCGGCGTGCATATATATATATATATATATATATATATATATATATATATATATGCATATATATAAGACACCTTGCTATTACGTTGCTTGACGTTTTGAAATTGTATTTTTTCCTCTATCTGTTCTAGCTGCCGAGAGGCGGCATGGTGATGATATGGTAAGCGGCCAAACGGACACTTTTCACACGTGAAAAATGTGAAAACTAGGTGAAGCCACCTTGACCGTTTCTGTTCACGTGACACATGGCACATGTGGCCGTACATGTGGCATCACGCAATTTCCCATTCAATTCTCTACCGGAACTTGCCAATTATTGTCCTTTCAACACTCGGTTACCGAGATTGTGCCCACGAGATTATAGTTACCGAGAGCGGCTGCTCGTCGACCACATCCTGGACCACATCTTCAGGCCGCCGTTGCGAAACCGATGAGCCGAAAATAGCATGTGCCACTCCTGAACCGTGGACCGCAGCGGCTCGTGAGCTACCTGTACTCGAGTCTCGATCGCCTCGTATGCCCGCGCGTCGCGTTCAACTTTCACCATCCAGCGACCCGCCGTGCGACACAAAATGGGACAGACAGAAAGACGGACGCACTTTAAGCAAAATGTTTAAAGATTAGAGGTGTCGGCAGATTTGTGTTCACCTCGAGCTGAATCGTGAATCGGCTGGTGAGCCCACCGTTTTGGGGTGAGCCACGACCTCAGTCGGCTCGTTAGAAAAAATGTCGCTTGGAGCCATGAGCTGAATCACATTTTTCCTAAATATCATCAGCTGCGCCGTTAGCATATTTTTCGTACATGCTTATCCTAGCAACCGATGTCAGTGGTGTTAGCAATAGTGCTGACCGAACTGGCCCAGCTATCGATGTTCTGGCAAGAAAATTTTATCTTACCAAATATCAGTGGCGACGAGAAATAGATTCATGATATCATTTTTTTATACATTTATAGTTGCTGTAGCTCAACGGCTAGCTTTCAAGAATGACGAGAAACAATGTTTCGAAGCAGGATAGCTCCAGTCACTAAAGACCTACATTGTCGAGCATATATTGGAGGAGAGCGATGGAAATGCAACGAAACTTCCCCAAATAATTTGCGATTACTTCTTTCTATTGTTTCTATGCATTCTTTTTTGTAGTAATTTGGACGTCAATAGAGCCTATCCGATGGTCATGAGATCATCACATGGTCCAGGGGCTTAGGATCGCATTTCGTTGAGGGCCTTGACTTCTCTGGCCGCGGACAAATCGCAGCTGAGCTCACAAGCTTACGCTCCGCCCCCTTTTCCTTTTCCCACCTTATTCTGCCGTAAAGACGTGGATCTCTGCAAAATAGCACGTCATCCTGATGAAAATCCGGCGGAATATCAGGCCTCCTTGAAGGATTTTGGAACATGCAATATCTTCAAACACATTACCGATTTCTGGCTCCCTTTTGCCACACAATCATCAGATATCACAGGAAAACATGAAGGCATAGGAACCTGAATGTACTCATATAAATGTACTCAAGGTACTCACATAAGAAGAGGATGGGCATGTAATGTAATGATGGCTAGAATGGCATTTAGATCTAGATCTAGACTCAATCGTATCCATTTAGTACATTCAAAACCTCATAATGCTTACCGTACCCGAGGTTGGTCAATCCTGTGCTCACTACTTTCCTCAACAGAGTTAGACTTCAGTGCGTGCCATCACCTCAAGCTCTGCCTATTTGGAACGACTGGAAAGGCGTCAGACGGCAAACCCTTACTAAGCCCAAGCACGTAGCTAGAGAAATTTAGTGAAAGGCCGAGATATTTCCACAAGGCATCTGATGACCATGCAATAGTCATAGCACTGAAATTGGAGACAACAATGTGCATGAGACCATGTCTATGGTGCGTTGTCTGTTTAACTACCCAACCTGCTGTTCCACGGCCTCAACTTGACATGACATGTTCTGCAATCCAGCGCTCGATTCTGCTTGACGAAATCCTGCATACTGTGCGGCGCACCAGTCAGTCACGAATGCCGACAGCGCCTTGCCACATGTCGGACCATGATCATGGTGATCGTCCAGATCTGCAAGAATGGACTTCTGCATCTTGCCTGGGAGATCCGACACAGTGTTGTGCGCACCGGCCGTTGGGTCCGCCACAGGCGGGGGAGGAGGAGGGGGGGTTGCTGCAGACCGCCGCGGGCGCCGACAGGTCAAACGGTCTAACGTGACGGGGGATCCATAAAGACATCGTCACCGCTGTCATCATTGCCTCGGTCCCTTTAGTTCTCCGTGAAAGGCTGACAAGGCATCATGATGTCACAAGGGTAGTTTCAGTAGACATATGTCAAAGCATCTCTTTCCACGCCAATAATTTGAAAAATCAGTGTGATTTGGCCTGGCCACAGTTTCACATTCAAGTGTGAGGATCCAAGCACAGATGTCTTGTAGGTGTCCAGTGCAGCAGATGATTTGTATCAGGCCGGATGCAGGCGTTTTGTGTTATGATTGCTTTAGTTAGTAAACTTATGCATCACTTCCTATCACTGTTCTTTGTACACTTCTGTACTAAATTCCCTAGCAGACTGATTAAATTAACCAATTTTCCATCAAAACAGCAGTATAATAAGACTACAGAACGCTGCTGTATAATACAATATAAGGTACCATATAATATACGGAAAGCTACTGTGTATGCACATAGAATTTCCGTGCAGGTTATACACATGACCAATACAAATGTTATGACACACAATAACTGTTTAAAAACAGACACAATCCACTCGATTACACCCAACACTTACCTCTGTGAGCATGATCAGACTGCCAGGCCTGCCCCACGCCGGGATGATTATTCCATAGCAGCACAACTAAAACCAAGGAAAGACACACAAAATACGGACATCCCTGTGCCCCATAAGTCATGCTGTGATGTCAAAGTCCAACCCAAGTCCACCCGCATTACCGCATTGTGGGTAGCAATGCTTGTAACGTCATCATGGGACTAAGTCATATGGCACCAATGCCACGGCCGCGTGAAAACGCTGTTCTTGCGGGCTGGTTGAAGCATATGTATTTCCATAAACTGAACTTTTTTGGACCTAGCACATTCAATGAAGCATTTTTAGATGGGAAATGGCATTGGTTTGCGCTAGAGCTGCAAAATTATTGCTGAAATGCGCTACCAGTCTCTCCCGACGGAGAGATGAGGAAACTCATTCACCCATTTACCAGTGATTTATCCCGAAGAACTCTGGTCGGAAGCGCTTAGAATAGTCTGTGTAAAAGAGCACAACATACAACAACAGCAACATAGGGTGGAGATGAGAAACGGCGGCCTAGACGGGCTTGCAGCACCCTGGGATGCGCATTGAGAAATTGGAATGCACTTCCTGTAGCCTTAGGAGGGGCGTTGCCGGATGGATGCAGGGTTGGCTTGCCCTAGTGGAGGCAGTGAGAGGTGAACTCCGGGAGGCGTTAATGCAGAGCGCCATTTCAGTTCAAGACAGCAGATTTCCTTGTAAAATGGGACGATTCCTGGCAAGTTTTGCAATTTCGTCAGTCAAAGATTGGTGACCCATGTCCCAGCTGGGAAATAGTCTTGGGGATATATAATGGTAGTCGGGTAGTATTCCCTGCTTACCCTTTTCACTTAACCCATCCGAAAATATGAATGTCCATGTTAACCAACGACTAGCAAGATCACATAGTAAAGAAACAGCGACATTTTTGGCACCTGCCCTGCTCACATTTCCTTATTTTTACATTTCATTCCATTTAGGTACTGCGGTACGACGATAAATGGACAATCATTGCCCATTCACAAATTTAATGTGAACATGCACATAATATCCATTTATTTACGAATGAATATACCTCTCACAAAAAGGCGTTACATCCAAATGTTCAGTCACGTTGACTACGGCGAATGTGGCGCGGACACTGAACGTAAAAAACATGGTTTAATAGGACCTATTTTTCGAAGCAGATCATAGCACTGATTTAACTTGGAAGGT